GTATATGCAATTGTGCTTCTTTTTCTACCTCGTAGTCTGAACGTAGTTTTCAGAAACCTGTACTTTATGAACCTTATTTTAATGACTAAGTATACATTGTCTACTGAGTTTGACCAGCTCAAGTACGCGGTAACAACCATTGGCGTACCAGTCAGGTACGACTAAAAATCTTGAATTATCGCACCCCGCCGTCAGGCAATCTACAGGTTTTCCAATCCCATGCAGTCCATTGAAATGTATAATAATTTTATATTTAATTTGCGTTACCTTTATGTATTGCCATAGAGCATTGATAATGACAGGTCTTGTCTGAGTGTGAATGCCAAGTAATCGAGCTAAACGAGGATCAAGTTTGTACTGTGCGGGTTGATAATCTAACAGCAGCATGATTGTACATTTCACTTTGTCTTCGCCTGGTCTTTTCACTTGAAAGCCATCCGTTTCTTGAGTTTTATCTGTTCTATGCCACTAAAAGAATTGAAGAAGAACATTGATTTTACAGACATTGACGTTAAAAAGCAAAATGTAAGACGAATTTTGCTTGTTATTCAGGGCATAAAGACCAATTTAAAACTTCTATTCATTAACTGAAACTTTGCCAGAAAGGTCGCCCGTGCCAAAGTTGTTAGTCCAAGTTGTATTGTGTACAGTAAGGTATTGTGTACAGTAAAGTATACAAAAGTCATTTCTTAGCTTCGTTCAGTGGAAACTGAATTTGTATAGTAACCAAGTGCAATGCAAAGCGAGCTCAATTGTGTATACTATAGATTTAGGAGCAAATATTTTAATTTGTGTATTTTGTTTTTATAACGCATGTTTATGCAAGTAGCCAGAAACTCACATGCTCAGATACTAATGCTCTGATAACGTTATAAAATTATATGCGATCGCCGATGGGAGTAATACCGTATCTAATTTTGCTGCTTCAAATATTCCCTAGTTCCAGGCAGCAAGAAAACTAAGATATTATCCGACCTGTTGTCAGCCCCTTATTATGGTTAAATAAGGTCGAGTTTTGTACAAAAATTGGATGGCATGAACACGTAAACAAGTCATGCAACTAAATCGACGACATGCGATCAAAAAACTTAACTCACACCACTGCTTTTCCACTGTCTGAAATGATTGTAAAAAATGGCATACCTCAACCAAGTGGTTGTCAGGACCATAAAGATCTTTATCCAGTTCTATTACTAAACTTCGGAAAAATGAAGAAAACTTTCTCTTCTGCTTCGTAACATCAGGTTTTATTCCTTGCTGTAAACACATTGAAACTGAAATTACTTTACAGATAAATATACATATAATCTAAGATTGACTTTTACTTAAGATCTGTTTATTCGTTATTAAAAATTATGTTAACGTTATTCTAAAGTAGTTATATAGTTTAAAAAGTTATTGTAATTTTTATAAATGCGAATACACCACAGCCTGCACAATATTTGTCGGTGGCGGACACTTTGAGTTAACATGACCCATCTTTTGTAGTTGTTTTGCCACGGATCAATTTCATGCAATAACTTAATTTTTAGCCTACTAAGGGTTTCAAATTATTGTTACAGCTTTGCTACACAGTTTTTCAGCTAACACTACATACGTAAAAACGCACAAATTGTAACAAGTCTGCAAGCAAGTTGTTACACGTCTGTTCACAAGCTGTCAACAAATTGTGCTCGCACTGCTTGTTCCCAGTTTGTTGTAACAAGTTTGAAACAAGCTGTTAACAACTTGTAACAAGCTTGATGGCATTATCAGCCTTGTTACAAGATTGTGCTAACAAGTTTGTTACAGCCAATATATTACAAGGATGTTACAAGGTTGTCAACACAAGGTTGTAATAATCTTGTTATATCAAGCATGTCACAGACTTGTCAGAACAACCTTGCAACAAGTCTGATAATTTCGAGGTTGTTACAAGTTGTCAACAAGTTGTTCCAAACCTGTTGACAACTTGTGACAAGCAGTGCGAATACATCGTGTTAACAGCTTGTGAACAGACTTGTAACAAACTTGTGCGTTTTTACGTGTGTAGGTTAGGTCGAATAAATTTGTAGAATTTACAATCGAAATTTCTATCAACAACACCCTTTATGCAACAATATAGTGTGGATAGACTATGGATTTATTGCAATTATGATTTCCATAGCGTGGATTTCACTTATATTTAAAATCGTAAACGTACATCATCCATTAACTTTCCTTCCACACGAAGCTCCCAAGAAGGCACGATGGAGTCCTCATCCTAAAATAAACAAACAGAATAGAAGTAGTATATGTGTATTCGCAAACGTGGTTATATTAAGGCCTAAAAAAATACCTGTGGTTCCGGTTTCATATCGCGAAAAAAGTAGGGTCGGTAGGTCGGAAATAATTTTTTTTTTAATATTTGTTCATGGTTTTTTCCAATAATTAGTGCGACAACAGACGCCATTTTGGCAGCAGCCCGCAACCACCCGGAGAAAATAGGGTCGCACGGTCAATTGCGTTGAAAAAATAATAGGGTCGGCAGAAAAAAATAGGGTCGGTCGGGAACTGGAACCACAGGTATTTTTTTAGGCATAAGACCCGTTTTAGGCATAAGACACTTTTTGGTGCGATTTCTAGTGCAATTTTCTCCATCTGATGCATGTGAACGAGTGGATGAGTTGCGAATGTTTGGAGTACATGTACCCTCGTCTGAACATTCATAACTCATCCACTCGTTCACATCCATCAGAAGATTTAAGAACATTTTCATGCATATTACAGACCTGGGAAAATGGGATCTCGGGATCCTGAGGAAGAAGATTGAGGAACATTTTAAATTTTCATAGGAGAATCTTAAAGAATTACATCTGCCATTTGAGACATGTAATACAAATACAATCTTGTTGTGTGGTGCAAATGCGGCCAACTTGTTACAGTGGCTTTAAACCTGATAAAATACTCCTAATTAGTATTCTTTAAATAAAGAATACTAATAAGGCAGTATCTATTGTAGTCGTGCCCTCATTAGTATTCTTTACATAAAGAATACTAATAGGCAGTATATTGAATTTGTAGTCGTGTTTGAAGCCGTTTAATAAACTCGCAGGTCGTGTTTTATTAGGTCTAAAGCCACTCGCGCTGCGCGCTCGTGACTTTAAACCTAATAAAACACTCCTGCTCGTTTATTAAACAGTACGAAACAACTTGGCCGCATTTGCACCACACAACAACCTGTCTATAATGTTACTGAAGGATACCATCCACCAAATACAGTCTAGTATACTTAGTTTGTTGTTGCATACATCATGGCGTAATGTATAGTTAAGTTTTCCATTGTTATTACGCACTTTCGAGGGACATTTGTAAAAGGCAAATTCAGGATCCGAAAACATTAAGAATAAACACTAACTTATTCCATGTCTGTGATATTCCAGGTCTGTGATATCACTCTAAGTGAAACGATACTTGGACACATTCGTGTTGTTGAGCAAATAGAAGAGGTTATATGTAGCTGATTAGGATGTGTATAAAGAGTACAGTACTAGTTTTACTAAATATAAATCGTATGAAAACGTACCTCAGCGTCTGGACGAGCACCATGAAAATGTGTAGTAAGGAACACTCTTAGTTTGCGCTTTTGCTAAATGGACAAAAAGTAAAAAAGGCGTTCTGTATATAGGCGTATTCAAGAAATATTCAAAAATATATACTGGCGTTGAATTTTATATGTGTTAATAAATAATATGCAGATCTCATTCAGGCACGAGTTTCCCAAAACCTAGGCACTTCGGCTACAGCCATACCAGAAAGCATCTTACGAAAGAAAGAAAAGCATCCTAGATTCACGGGGAAACTTGGCTTACAAATTACTCTGCATGTATACAGTACCTTCACCGGCCGCTTTAACGCCTCTTGAATATCGAGTCTTTTTCTCATTATTGTAGAATCCAGTTTTCGCTCAAACGCTAACAAATCCATGTACGCCTGAGACTCTGGCACGAGTTCTCGAACCTAAACAAATACAGAATCAGGAGATGATTTTTTATAAATTATTATATATCATGGCCTTGAAAATACTACGACAGTCGACAGACTTACTCGTTGTGGCAAAACTTTATCTCCAGCTTTCTTCTTCTTCCTATTAGTAATAAAATTTACTTCATTTAAATGTTTCCACAAACCAAAACTGATACAAGTTAATTTACTTTAACCCTGGATATTGCCGTGGACTTACATTTTATAAGCTACGTATACATTGCAAGATATAAGGTGTCAGTTAACGTGGTCGTTTTGTATGTGTGATATTTGGGTCATTTTACAGTCGATTTCACGAAACTTTGACCACAAATGTTGTGAACTTTTTGCGAAGTTCGCAAGTTCGTTGCGAAGTTCGGAAGTTCATATTGGAATTCACAAGCCAATTTGTAAACAAAGTCCGTGATTGGTCCCTGAAGTAAAAGAAGCCAATCAAATGCGTTGTTTGCAAACTGGTTTGTGAAGCTCATGCATTGTCATTATGAACTTTTAAACTTCGCAACGAACTTGTAGTGAACTTCGCAACGAAGTTTGGAACATTTGTGGTCAAAGTTTCGTGAATTCGACTGTAAGAAGAAATGCAATATCTCTTTATAGAAAAAAACTCATCTTGGTCAACTTTTTCAATGTCAAAGTTTTCGGATATGACGTCATTATATAAATTGCATATATATTTTTCCATTTTTTTTCCTCCCAAATTATTCATCTAATGACATCATATCCGGCATGCAACTGTGACAATGAAAAGACGAGGTTGTTTAATACTATAAGGGGCTATAAAAGATCGTTATACGTCGTATACTGTTACTGGAATTAAGCTGATATAGCTAATTCAACTTTGAAATGTCATTTTGAATGGTTACGTTATCAAAGCCGTGATAAGAGCTATATTGAACGAATCATCACGGTTAACCGAGTCAGCCCGGCTCCATACGATCAGCTCGACCCCCAAGAGTACATTACATTTCTTCTTAGAATGACTCAAATATTACACATAACAAAAACCACATTTGCAGTTAGTGGCAATGAAAAAAAAATTTCCAAGCCTGGATGTACTGAGCTAGCCTGTGTCAACTACTGAAGAAGTATAGTCGAGTGCTAAGCATATATTTGTCAACACTTCGTGATAGTAAAATAACTTCATGGCGGATACATCACGAAAGATTGGCGTAAATTATGCAAATTACATATTTTGCCGACAGATTCCCGCACTTTTGTTGCACTTGTTTTGCTAAAGTCAAGTGTGAACGTGCTTGAATAGTACTGTACTTATACTTGCATGAAAACCATTGTCCGGTTCTGGAATTATATCGCGGCTCGAGAAGAAAATGCCGTGGATCGAGAAGAAAATGCCGTGGATCACTGTGGACAACGACGACGGCAGTTTATTGCCGTAGTGTAAATTGGCGGAAACTGCCGTAGAGAGCCGCTGCAATCCACGGCAATTGCTCACGTAATTGCCGTGGCCGTGGAGAGGTTCTAGAGAAATTCCAGTCCTGTCGGTACCTTTATATAGTGTCTGGCCATGCTACTGGATATAACTTGTAGAAAATAGGCAAGTTACAAGAATGTAAAAACCATCTAGTCTATATACATTTACGAAAATTTACTATCTTTAAATTGTGTTTCTATCGATCAAAATCCGCGATCTACTTACACGCGCCTGCTTGACTTTGGGTCAGGTCGTTTTCCTTGTGGTGTTCCAGCCACGCTGGCATACGGATGACCTGCCATTCTGGAAGCTTGGGGTGATGACGTAGCACCAGTTGGACGCTAAACAAGTTAAATATCAATATTTAGCATATACTCGGGTGGTGGATAGTATTTTTTCGGGCAATTTAATTGGTTGCGCAGCTCTGGATACCAGCTCTGGATACCCGCTCTGGATACTCGACACTTTGCGTCTTGGTGAATTTCCTTGCACTATTCTATTCACCTTGCATTATTCATATATGTGCTATACACCGTATTACTCTTGTACATCGACACTTTTAGAGAAAGCAAATGAAATAAAATGATTACATTGCATGTATTCTCCATTAAACACATTAACTGTCTTTGCCTACAGAATGTCCAGCAGGATATCTCACTTTGAAACCCACCTCAAGCCCCCCTCAAACAACAATTCACAAGAATTGATGCGAATGCAATGCTCGCGCTGTTGTTTGACGACCATTTCTCATCGACTCCCGTAAATTCATGCAACGCCAATTATACAATATACTGTATAGAGCTGATATTATATAAGGCTAGCGTAAGGCCATGTTAGATGACTAATTGTTGCTGTGACTGCAACTCAGTTTCGGACATAGAGCGATGTTATGTTAAAAATATTAACAGTAACCTTTTACTTTTCTAACATTCTCATTCATTCATTTCAAGCCTCTGTGCTAGCAAGATAAAATGCGGGGCAAATTTTCAATTTTACTATGAATACATTTCACATGAAATTTCTTTGCAAACTGCAGAAAAGATTGCCTTGCGAAACATAGCCTGCGTGGCAGACCCATCAAGTTGAAGCGGGAAAGACGAAAGGAGAATGACACAAATAAAGGCTTGTTTAAATTGACCAATAGAAACTGAGCTGGGGAAAACCCGGACGAACGAAATGCATTTGCTCGTGGGTAAACATGTTTTTTTTTGCAGGTCCTCGTTCTCCGTTTTTTCTGCTGCAACGAGGATTAAATATTATATTGTCTATCGATGTATTATAAATACGTAATAGGACCTTCGCTCGAAACGTCGTTCTACACGATTCATTATTTTGCAGAGAGATTGTTACATTGATGGCTATAGGCAGCATTTCACTTGCGATAATAACTTCTAGTATTTTATATTGTCCACAGATGTATTATACATATTTATTATATAAAATTTAGTGCTTTATAGAGATTTCAAGCACTGACAAAAGTGATAATCTCACATGTGAGATTATTCATGATAATCTCACATGTAAAAATTATCGCTTTTCAATTATCGCTTTTCTGTAAAAAATATCGCTTTTCAAAGACTGTCCTTTATATAATAAACTGCGCTCACTCGTGAGATATCATGTTCAACACTCGAAATAAATCTGGTATTTCCGCGCACCCATGTATTATTCTCTATGTAACAGGACCATCGCTCGAAACATCGAAGTTCTCCTTGTATTTTTCAGGTAGTTGCATCCCTATCAATCCGAAGCTTTCTAAATACTTAATACTATATTTACTTGCTGTCAATGTCTTTGGTAAAGAACTGAACTGTTTTATTAACTGAACTGTTGTATTCTAGTAGATCGTCGTGCGATCGTACGTGCCCAATCGCGACCCAACCGGCTCCACAATGCCAAGCCATTCTGACCACGCAGAGAAACTGCCGTGGAAGCAGAGAGACGAATCAGGGACAATGTTGCTGATGATCAACAATGACTTTGATTACAAGCTTATATTATTAATATGCATTGATGGTGAACTTATATATGTTATACATTTATTCTAAGTTGGGTATTTTATTATTACTAGTACATATATCTCTTTACGAGCTATATGGGGGAGTGTGTATAAAACGTTAGTCCAGTTTACACATATTGAGAACTTAATTTTTACCATATAAGGAATTGTCTTGTGTCTTTGCGCGTAACTTATCGTGAATAAAATAACAAAATCTTCAGTGTTTTCGACATGAATGAGGGTTAATAGATAGGGGGGTTAGTATATTTTTTCGTCCAAGAAAGGAGGAGGGCTTGTTAGAGATAGGGCGAGCTTATTTGAGAGGATATCTCAATAGACTACAGCATTTATTCTGTAGCTCTTGAAAGGACAAGGCAAAAAAGTAAAGTATTCTGTTACTGCTCAGCGCGTGCGTCATCTTTAACTATGCGCCTCAACGTGTTTTTTTTTTGGAAAACCGTTAATCATCATAAAAAAAATTCAAGAAAATTTTCTTCCTGGTCAAGGAAATCTACTGAAATTTTGACACAAAAGGAATATGTTACATGTTTATAAATACATATTAATTAGTACTTACATGCACTGCATGTTTTAGCATGAGAATATTCTTGTGATATATTACTGTACGTAATATATGAACAACAAGAGCGAGTGTTTCACCATTGTTTTCGAGTGTTTGGATGTCCCGGTGAGACACAAGCTGAGTTGTTTATATGGCTTCTCAAATAAATCGAGACGTAACAGAATGTTTTCGTTTGCTGATTTGAATAGAATTCTTAACCAAGCATAACGTAATTAGGAATTCTATTCAAGTAATTTTGCATGCGTAATTAAGATATGTGATGAAAATACTAGTGACTTTCATCAAGTATCCAAATGGCAAATGGTGATCAAATAGGTGATTATCATTGGCTAATTTACTCATGAATTATTAATGAATTTGAGAATTATATATCACATTCATATTAATTGATATTTTTTATCATTTTATACACATGAACATTTTAATTATTGATTTCACCCCCAATGTTTTGGGAGCAAATCTGGGAATAAAATGCGTTGATTACTGAATAGTCTGTGATTATAACCGCCCACATTGTGCAGCGGTGCAGGCTTCAAAAATTACTTAATTCCAAATAAGAACCATATATTTGTTTAATATATAAAATTAATTAAATTTGTTTTGAACGATATCACGAGAGCAAACTATTGATTCCTAAATTTATACAGTAAAACACTGCCTGTTGATTTACTGTATTCCAGCATGGAGAACGTGCATGCAGCATGCTTAAAACATGTTACGAGCAGATTTATTCCTAAATTTATACAATAAAACACTGCCTGTTGATTTACTGTATTCCAGCATGGAGAACGTGCATGCAGCATGCTTAAAACATGTTACGAGCAGATTTACAGTACCATTGGGATACTTTTGTAAATTATATTACGTCAGCAGCTGGATTAACCTCCATCACTTGCAACTCTGTGACTTAACATGACAATAAATTATGAACATTGTGTTATTCCGTCTTTAACAATAATGCTCTTTTTGGAAACGAAATTGTTATTTGTCCGATCACAGGAACCAACAAGCTTTGGCTATTTGTCCGTGAATTAATTTGATTGGTTAATAATTAATTTGTTAATAGGTCATTTGTTTCACACAATAAAACAGGAAAGTTTCCTGCACCTAACCCCTTCCTTAACCTCTAAACGTAACCCCGTAAACTCCAGCCCAAACTGTTCAAGCCATGTGTTCGCTTAACCACTCAACTAACAAGGAATTGCTTGAAATTTAATGAAATTTACTTGATGTCATTTTAGCATGCTGACAGAACACAGAAAATAGTTCAGCCGCACAAATAGCATTAGCACAATAGTTTCCAGTCACAGACAAATAACACTTCAGGGTGTGATAATTCAAAATTTTTAGTCGCACCTGACTGATACGCCAATGATTATTGCTGTATACTTGCGCTAGTGTTTGTCAATACTCAATATGTACTTAACAAGTGTAACTCCAAAAATCGATATCATTTTATTTATCTACGTTTCGACTATATTTCAGTCATCATTATGATAAACTAGCTAGGTTATATATCAAAAGCAGCATTTATATGAAGAAATATGATACAATCATTAGGTTGATTATTAATGAATTAATTAAATATGATTAGTTCTTTAGAAGCTTTAAGTCCATGATTAAGTTCAGATTAACTCCTAATATCTGGTTACAGCTACCATATCTTGGCAAATTTGGTGAAAGACTAACTCGTTCGTTGATACGCAAAATAACCCCTCTCCTCATATTAAAATGTCGATTTGTTATTAACTGGAAAACCATTAACAGCAATGTATTTGTGTCATTCAAAGATAAAACCCCGAAAACTTATCAAAGCTCTGTTGTCTATGAATTTATTTCCTGGATGTAATAGTAGGTACATCGGAAAAACTGATTGCTACTTATACACCAGAACTAAAGGAACATTCAAATCACACAGAATCTGTAATCCATCAACACCTTTCTACTTGTGAACAGTTTCAACATATTAAAGCCCTTTTAGAACTATATCCCAACGATGACGCAAAGTCTAATCAAACCAGTATAATGGTTGAACATGTTTTCCACAACACTAAAGTAATTGATAAATCTAACCATTGGTTACTTTTGCTGTATCAAGAATCCCTCGCTAAATTCAAAGATATAAACCTGAACTTAATCGTGGACTTAAAGCTTCTAAAGAACTAATCATATTTAATTAATTCATTAATAATCAACCTAATGATTGTATCATATTTCTTCATATAAATGCAGGGCGCGAAATAACGGCCGGTCAACGGACAATGTCCGGCCAGAATGCGGAATTGTCCGGTCAAATTCTTACCTTGCCAGTCATTTTGACCGGTTACTTTTGGTAAAAGAACAAACAACTAATCTTCATTTGAATTAATAATGAAAACAAAGTTGTCAAGCATTATAATTAAGAACCAATAACATGTTGTCCAATATCTTGCGGGAAAAGAACTTCAACGTACGCCAGCTTTCCCACGCAGTACGTCACAAAGCCCATGGCCATGCTTTTGGCTTAAGAGTTAATTAAGGCCATTGTTTTAGCACAGTGCAAGTTGTTTTATGTGAAGGAGTTTTTAATTACTGATTACAGTAAGGCTTTTTGTAATGCTATACTGGGAATACTGGGAAAATAGTCACATTTTTAGGGGTATACTTTACTAGGCTTTGCTTTAAGCTGAATAATACGACCGGCCAGAAATACGGTATGTCCGAGCTAAAATTGAGTTGGCCGGACACCTTGACCGGCGTCCCTCCAGCCGTTATTTCGCGCCCTGAAATGCTGCTTTTGATATATAACCTAGCTAGTTTATCCTGATGATAACTGAAATATAGTCGAAACATGGATAAATAAAAATGTTATCGATTTTTGGAGTTACACTTGTTTTGTATTTTATTAAAATACTCAGTGGTTCTAGAAATATGTACTTAGTCATTAATTTAAAATAAAGTTCATAATTAAGCACAGGTTTCTGAAAAGTATGTCAGACTACAAAGTTAGAACAAGACGCACAATTGCACATCAAACAATCGACTCCAACATTTCTTAGTCCCATCATCCTTTATTTTACATTGGAAATTATGAATGATGTCACCTTTACTCGGTCAACTGATATTTATATGATGTCATTATAAAATCGGCATCGATATTGGGTAGGTAATTGTGACATGAAGAATCGGTAATTTCAATTGTTGCACAATCGGTCAATCACTAACATTGGTGATTCAGAATGTCTAATCCCCCACTACCCGGAAACATGATTTCCGGGGCATGCTCGCCTAACTGGAAAGTTTGGAAATTAGTAAATTACGTGCCAGAGATTTTGAAAATTTAATAGTAAATATATAGAAAGCATCAAAATTGAGCGCCGGAGATATCGGTCGCACGATACAAACTTTCCACACTGAGATGGGGGGAGATGGCAATGTTTGGAATTGATCGATACATTATTACGACTATAATTAAAAACGCCAATCAGCTGATTAATCAGCATTCACCAGTCCAAGCTCCCATTAAAAATATAAAGTGCAACTATAAAAATAATATGTGAGGCACGTCATGTATAATGCAGGCATAATGGTTCAGCCTGGCTGGCTGCTCGCGGCTCGTGCGAAGTTTTTTGTCTTGTCCTTGGACTTCGTTTCAAGTTCACTTTCAACTATTTCATTTATTTGAAGAAAAGAACAGAAGTATTTGGTTCAAATTTAAGTTTGAATTCACTTACAGCTTGAAAATGACCTTGGTTAAATTGTTGCGGTCTTTGCGACATCATCTGCTGTTGAACACCGGCCATATTCCCCGCCATTCCAGGCAAACTACCAAAACGTGTAGCGGCCATATTGCTTTTTGTGTTTTTCAAAATCGAACTCGCCGTTTCATAGGAACTCCCCCCCCCCTGCCGGCTAAAAAATTGACAAAAAGTCAAAAAGGGGCCAAAAAAACATTTGTTGGCCTCTGTTCTTTTAATAAATTCCTTTGTGCTGAATTGTGCAGTTTATAAATGTTATTGTTTTACTTTTGTTTTACAGTTTAGGGCTTTGTTAGTTTGTTATAAAAAGTTAAAAACGGTTAGAGTTTTTTTACAATCTTTGTTGATAAGTGCAACCCCCCCCCCCCCGATTCTTTGTCGTCATTCAGTAACTAAGCAGAAATACAGATTAGATGTTCAAATACCACATCTTAGTTGGCAATAAATAAGAAGCAAATAGCGCATAAATAATGAAATAAAGTTACAACAATGGCAAGAGCATTTCAAAGTTTTCTTCTTTTATGTCTGCTGGCACAGGTAATATGTTTTAACTTCTGTTTTATCCTCATAGGATCGATAGCATCGTCTACGACCGTATAAAGCGATAAGCCCACTAAAAAACTTTGTAAACAATATCAATGTTGAAATTTTCCCGACGTTTTCCCACTTGATATTATTAAAATATAACCTTATATGTGTAACTATGACGGCTTTTCGTACTCCTAATGCTTCTTTATATCGTGTGAATCTGTTACAATGACATCTACGAAGTGAAAGTAGAATAAGATATAAGAACGACTTGCTTTATTTATTATAAATTAACGTACTGTACATACTGAGATGTGACACAGTGACAGAGCTTGTTTAGTCGTATCCCTCATAGCGAGACCATTATTTATCTGTTGACTTCATACTTCTGTTAAATGTGTTTAAAAAGTCCACAAGTCCATATATTTGGGCTACAAAATAAAAAATTTGGTTTAGTTTTGTAGCTTTTTGTAACAGACATTCCCAACAATTTTTTGTTTGGGCTTGAGCATCTGTTAGGCATGTACCCAAAGTTTCACCATTTTTCCCTCAAATTTTTCATCTCTGTTTTCTCTGTATGTCATTTTATGCTACATTATGTCACTCTTCCCAAACACATACCGTAAACCTACGAATATAAACCCTGGGCTTATATTCATTTGTAAGCATTTTTTAATGGGCAAAAGCATGGGCTTGTATGTTAGTAACAGTATTTATTGCACCTGTAAGCTATACTGTGAACAAAAAGAAATATAAACATCTAGAATATATAATCTATGCATAAAACAAATTGGTTAAATTATTATATACAAATATACAGGGTGCGATAATTCAATATTTTTAGCCGTACCTGACTGGTACTCCGACAACTTTTGCCGCGTACCTGATCTGGTACAGACTTGAGAGTCAAGACGCACCTAAGACTACTTCCGAGTCATGGTTTTTATACCTATGTATATAGTTTACTGGTCCAAAAGCAAAAAATGTATGTGCAATTTTGTACAAATGAATCTTTAATTATGGTATTTGTACAACATAAGCCTTGACGTTGTGATCGAATGCCATGGCTCATTTACAGTGGATTTACCGATGGTGCTAACAGTCTGACCTCAGCTACATACAGTGCATAGATATGTTATATACACTACATAGTGCATCAAATTATTCTGCAATTCAAAAATCGAAGCCGTGATTGCACTCAGGATATTCCCATGAAATGAGAAGACTCGTATGTTTTCTATTTCTGAAACAGGGAACTTAAATATTAAGTTAAACCTATTCCAAATACATTTTCAAACTATTCAAATGATGAAAGTTATTGTTGTTTTTTAAGCGTTTATTAGCGAGTGGGGAACTCCAACATGGCTGCCATCTATTCAAATGGGGGTAACCGCTGGAATATTCTTGGCTTCAATTTTATTAAAAGAGATGCGCTATCTAGTTTATATAAGATATCTATGATACAGTGTAGTTTTCCTCATTGGGCCTAAAAAACGTCGCACGGTCAATCGTGTTGAAAAAAATAGTAGGGTGGGCAGAAAAAAATAGGGTCGGTCGGGAAACCGCAGGTATTTTTTTTAGACCTTGGTAATAGCATTGACAATTACTTGTAACTTGTAAGCACGCGATGATTGGTAAAAAATTATGTTGGTGTCCACATTACAACAAAAACGATAAAATTATCGGCGTTTGACGATAACGGTTTTAAAATCGCTCACCCGAGCGATTTTTATCAGTCGGACAATGACGATAAATTTTTTGATCAAGCGCAAAGATAACCTTTTGGCTTTTTTCATCCCAAAATATGTCGGATGCGTGAAATTTACATGTACAGCTAAAGTTCTTTACAGTTTTGAATACTTTGGCAGGTCTGCTAGTTATTGCTAGAAGGAAAATGTAAGTACGCGAATAGTAAATTTCCGCGTACCTACCTGGTACTTGCCTAAAAACAAAGAAGTACCAGACCATAAATTTGGCGTACCTCCGGTACGTTGGTATGCGAATTATCGCACCCTGATATATACTCTGAATTTTCAATAACGTACGTAGCATATAATGCTCTTCCCTTTAGTCACTTTCAAGTAACAATTTCCCAATATTTAAGTACAATCTGCCGACGTTTACGTAGAAACTGCCGAACCAAAAGAATGGGGGCCACAGCCCCCCCCCCCCATCCTTCGATCTATGCCTATAGATGACTTTACAGTCAAAGTACAAGAACCTTCCCACTTCTGTAATTACTACTTGTTACTTTACTACTAATTACTTAATTGAATTCATTACTAGCTGTATTGAATTCAATTTTGTAATAAACCTACTCGAACTAACACCTAATGACGAAGTTAATAACATTAAATGTTCAGTAACAGATTTAATATTTAAACACTAAGATAATAGATAAATCCAGTCACTGGTCGTTGATACTTTATCAAGAGTCTGTTGCTATTAATAGAATGAAACCGTCCCTAAACCATGGAACTAACGCCTCTAAAGATCTATTAATATTTAACTAATCGTATCTTGTTACTTCACTATATATACTTGTACATATGTAATATCATCATCATTCATTTCCGATGACTATAGTTTAGTCGAAACGTCGAAAAAAAATTTGTCAAATTCTTTCAATTTTCGGAGTATCCATTGTTTTGTATTCTGCTTGTGTGTGGTGTGACTGCTGTCATTTTATGTAACTATATTTTAATGTAAAGTAGTTACTGTTGTTTTGTAAAATGTGGTTAAAGGATTTTTTTTTATTATTTTACTGAATTTGTCACCAGACAAATAAAATTACATTGACGAAGATAACTATGTGACAGGAGAATTAACGGAACAGGCAGGGCCGTAGCTAGGATGTATAGTTGGGGGGGGGGGGATGTAGGCCAAAAATTTCCGAATGACGAAAAAAATTTCCGAATATTTCATGGCATACGAAGCCGCGAAGGTGTTTGCTATCCGGAAAATGAAGACGCAATTTACAAAGAAAAATACGCATATTTTATGCACAGACATATTACAGAGGCATGCAGTGCCATAGAAAACTCTTTTTGATTGGGGGCTGAGAACGAGGGCCAAAGGCCCGAGGAAATTTTTAAATTTAGAGTCTCTGAAATGCCATTTCCTGGACTTTAGGGGAAGTTTTAACAGAATTCTGATGGTCAGAAAACAGCGTTTTAGTTTGTCGAAACTTTAACTATATATTAGCCTGCGAACAGGCTCTCAAGCTGAATTGAGAGCCTGCATCGATGACTAATGAATTTGAATATCTGCGTCTCAAATCGTGACGCGAAATTCTCATTGGTCAGATGCTATAATTTATATGTTTCCGTTGAGCTCTATATATGTCAACTGCTGAAGCACTATGCATAAAAAACACATTAACTGATCAAATTGGTCTTGGCCATCTTTCTCAAAGCACGAAATGTTCTGTTTTGAGAAAACAGTATTTAAAACATTTGAACTTTTGCTTGAATATCTTATATTTCGAAAAGCAGTATAAACTGTACGGTCTAAATTTAGTTTGCACGGTCTAAATTTAGTTTGCACGAAAGTTGTAAACAACACCATATAAGGATAGACATTCCATATTTGGAAAAACGAACGTTACGGGGCAGATATTCAAATTCATTAGTCATCAATGCAGGCTCTCAATTCAGCTTGAGAGCCTGTTCGCAGGCTAACTATATATTGGAGAAGTTGCAGGAAAGTATGGGTAATATGATTGTTTGCAGTTTGTCATGGATAATAATTAAATGCTAAAGATCTGCATGATTTAAAAAAAAAATGATTATTAGGGAATTATTGGGAGGGCTGCAGCCCCCCAGCCCCCGGTTGCTAAATTGCGATTTAGAAGTAATAAATCAAAAAAATATTTACCGATTTACGATTTGTTAAATGTTAGCCATGATTTCGTAAATCAGTTTATACTAATAATACAATTATATTATATTTTCTTTGTATAACAACTAAAATTTTGCTATACTATTATTGCCGTAATTTTCCGAATGGCCAACCCGATTTTCCGAATATCTTAATTCTAAAAAAGTTGGGGGGGTTAACCACCACCCCCCCAATACCCCCAACATGGGCGTACCGGAAGGAAAAATTTAGGGGGGGCGGAAAGAAAATTGTCCGACTTTTTGGGATTGTGCCCGACTAGTACCGAAAACTTTTTTCCGGAAAAATTATTTTGGCGACCTCCCCCCCGTCGCCCCCCCCCCTCCCCCCGTCGCCAAAAAAATTTCGGTCAGTGTACCATTTAAGGGGTCAAAAAAATTTTCCGGACAACCAAAATTTTTCGGAACATAAGACAAATTTTCCAAAAATCACAAAATTGGCCACAAAATTTACTTAATTTTAGACAAAATTTACAGAATTTGTCCCATTTTTTTTATTGCAAACCAAAATTGCCTGACTGTTGATCGAATATTGCCCGACTGCCCAATGGGGGGGGGGGCTACCGCCCCCCCCCCCCCGCCCGGTACGCCTATGCCCCCCTCGCTACGGCCCTGGGAACAGGACTTTCGTCCTACTTGAAACCTAACCCCTTACAATATACACAATATACTATTTGTCTTTACTCAACAATATATACATTATACTTTTGTAAACATTTATATTATACAATCATATACACATATTTGGAAATGACTAACATGACAAAAAGAAGTTTAGGAATGACTATAATTAGCCTGAACAACCAGGAGGACTGTATGTTGATAACTTTGTAATGTACAAGTTAATTAGGGTAGACTTGAATGCAGGTAGCGAGTGGTAGACTTTAAGGTATGAGGGCAGACAGTTCCATAGTTTGGCTGATCTTTGGCTGATCGGTTCTTAGTGACTCCGCTGAACGGAATGATTATTTGGCAGCAGCCATCTTGTCAAACAGGGCTAAACCATTGAACTGTAAATAAACTGGAAGGCTAACTCAGGGGGAGGGCGGGAATTGAAGCCAGTGCATTTTAGTTTTTCTGAGTTATGAGCAGAAATACTCAACACTGAACGTTTGGCTATATATCAAATTGAAGCCATTGAAAAACGCTATTTAGTGTAGAAATTTCAAGACTTTAGCTAAAAGGGAAATATTGAAAAACTACAAAAATAATTGCTGATAATTTGCCATTTTGCAGCTGTTTTTGTATTTTTTAAATATTTTTCTTTTCGCTGAAGTCTTGAAATTTCCACGCCGAATAGTAATTTTCAATAGCTTCAATTTGATATATAGCCCAACGTTTGGGATAAAGTATTTCTGCTCATAACTCAGAAAAACTATTTTGGCTTCATCAAATTATAGGCCTTCATCATAGCAGTTTATTTATAGTTCAATGGGCTAAACTAGTGCCCAGTTTTTCTATTAGCGCTTCCTCATCACGAGGCCTAGTAATTCGAATGTTTGATGCACTGAGGTTCAACCTAGAAATGCCTAGTGCGATTGGGGGGGGGGGGATATTTTTAATCTATATAGTTAAACAGGGGGTCATTTTTTTCATTTCCAAAAAGTATAGGGGGTGCATATTTTATTGATAATGGTTTTAAAAAAACCACACACACCCCGCCCCCTGAGACGTAATAAACGATCGGTCCCTAATTTCTACTTATTGCACTTTTCTGTCCCCATGGTAACCTGAAAGGTTGAGTAATGCAGTAATCGGATTACTGGGGCTCAGGTTACCATCCCTTGGGTGGATATCTCTACTCTTTTCTAGTTCATTTGTTTTATTTAATTTCTCCTTTTTTGGTTCATTTGTTTTATTTTCTCTGTTCATTTGTTATATTTTCTCCCAATGGCCCGTGTCAGGTCTCAAGATTAGCGGTATCCCAACATCCCACAGGATACCAGATTTCAATTTTGGATACTAGACATCATAGGCTTAGTATCCTGACGGGATACTAAAAAAATTGAAATATTGGCGAAGTTCGTACATCACGGCGAAATGTTAGTCAAAATAATATTTTTTCGTTGTTTGTCGCACGAAAACGGAATGGACCTGAGTACGAGGTTAATTTCTGCCTCTCTGTTTATGGTAACCAATGATTACGCATGATTTCCTGTCGCCATCGCACCATAACGAAATCTGACTCGTGTTTCTATGCCCATGGTTTTCCCTGCTAGCACGAGATAAAAAGCATGTGATACCGCTTATCGAAATACCTACTACCCAAGTCTGGGATACTAAAACAACTCAAATCTTGAGCCCTGCGTGTGGACCCTGGCTTAAGGCCCATTTACACGGGCGATTTTTGCTGCGATTTTATGGCGATTTTCTTCTTCTGATGGATGTGAAGGAGTGGGTGAGTTATAAATGTTCCAGGTTATGAAATTTCATAACAACGTCATTAAGTAATCTACTCCTTCATATCCTCCAAAAGGAGAAAATCGCAACTAAAATCGCAAAAATCGCCTGTGTAAACGGGCCTTTATGGTGCTCCCATTATATGTATTTTCTATCTTCCTATAGTCTGTGTACACAGTCCCAAATGCTTATCCACATTATGACAACTTTTCTCCGGGGCGGGGTGTCGGAGGAATTTACCTGAAATTACCAGAAGTATAATAATTATAATCACCTTTGTCCACACTAAGTTTCCAAAGAAAAGGGGTTCTGGGGACCTCTCCCAGGAAATTTTTACATTTTTGAAGCTCAAGCAGGACTGCATTTCTAAAGCAAATTCGCGAACGGATTGGATTTAAATTGACTGTATTTTACAAAAATGGTTATCATTTTGCAAATGTTATTATAATTTATGCGAACATTAGTACCTGAAAATGTCAAAATTTAAACTTGAATTTTACCTGATTTTTACCTGAGTTTTACAGTTGGGATGGGGTTTATACCCGCTGGTTGCTACCGTCCCTGCTCCTGGGCGTTTCTGAATCAACCAATTTTCACTTAATTTATGTTTATGAGGGGCCTGGGTATGCAATAATTCATTATGGCCCGGCCTGAGTGATAGAACACTGCTTAATCTAATTATGGTAGAACACTGCTTAATGTAATTATGGTAGAACATTGCCTAATCTAAAAGGTGCAAATGCAGCCATGTTTCTTTATTGTTTATTTGTCCCTGTGTACTGAATTATGGCCTAGTATAGGCCGTACAAATCAGTGTTTTACATTATAGTAAGTTTTAACAGTATTTGTAAAGTGTTTACCTTTATGTTGCCTCCCATTATTTAGTTTTTATATTCTTACAGCCCATAATCCTACACACTTATTCTCATTATCACGACTTTTCTCTTGGCTGTTTTCTGATCCTTTCCTTAGATCACGCATGTGTTGTTCGCCATGAAATAGAATAATTTCCCTGTATAGGTATATTCTCTGTATTTCGTGTTTGGGTACGTGAATTAAAAGTTTGTATGCAACGCACAAGAAATAATTTTGTTTGGCACTGCTTCATTCCATTATGAATTATGATACATAATTATGTATAAGTCCTTTCTTTTCTATATTGTTTTACTAGTATATTGCAGAAACCAGTCTATCACACATACATTGGCATTTTTAACAGTATTCGTTACCTTGATCTTACTTTGGCATCCTTTACTCCCATTTAATGCTAACCTGAATGGGTGATGCTATTTTCTCCAAAGCAAGCGTGAAAGAGACTGCTATGAATAGCTAGAAACTGATCTGTGTGTAAATGTAATTGTATTATAATTAAAGTAAAAATGTTTGAATTTTTATGTTATTTACATTTTCTTGTTTTTACAAAATAATTTCAGGCTTTTGCATACAGAACTTGTCGAATTTACCACAGTCATGGCAATACAGTAACTGAAATAAAGTAAGCTAAAGACATCGGATGCATGATGTATATATTATAATCGATCAAGAGAAACTTGGCGTTGGAGAATTTTCACTGAATTTTTTCTTCGATAAAATTACACTTCTCTTAGCCGATCGGAATATGATTCATTTTTTCATGTATATTATTAAAATAGAAATAAGGTATGCGATGCCTGCATATTACCATCTTTTGTTTTTCATCATATTCAAATATAAAATACAAAAAAAGAGAAAGGGTAATAATATGTCAATGGCTGTAATCTTTTCAATATAATTTTTATCAGTTATAGACCTGAAACGAGGGGTATTCCACAAAAAATGACCCTGAGGGCGAAGCCCGAGGAATATTTCATCCCGCAGGGTAATTTTTTGTGGAATACCCCGAGTGAAAGGTCTATAAATGGTATATTATACCGAACCTTTCAAAAATAAGTAGAAAACAAATACCATTCAATTAACTTTTAATTTCAAAACACAACTTTTGATAACTTTACATTTAAAAAAGTCGAATTTCCCGCTCAAGCGTGGTATTCGAAGTCGAATACCATGGCCCCGGGTAAAACACCCAGGGTTCAAATTGCGTAGGTCATAGTATTCGCTGAAAAATACCATGGTCATGTGGTACAAATTTAGTTCTCTGATTGGACAAGCTCATTGTGAGGTATAATATTTCCTGTTATCTCTCAACACTAGGTGTACAAACTCAGAGTACTGTTGTGATCATGGTTGTTGCCGTAAAGTGTACACCATCTGGTACTTTTGGTAGGTTCATACATCCTGATGTTGTAATTAGATTATAACCAAATAAAGCTTATGTAATTTCCTAACCCCCAACTAAACACAGTGTTGCCGAGTGCAAACCTTGGCTGATTTCAAGACTTCTAATTGGTAAGTGAGATCAAACACAAAGCGCTAAGTATGGTTGTAGTGAACGAAAGATCAGTAGAAAACCTTTGAAAGTGAGAAGAGAAGAGGAATGCACGGAAATTAATAAATTATTTTTTTCCTACTGCTTCTTAATCTTCATTTGGGACTTTTCTATCGTTTGCACGTAATTTGATCAACCTTCTTACGGCTCTTTTTCACTCGTCGTAAACACCAACTCGCAAGCTCACTGCGTGTACTTACATCCAGTCACAATTCTCGACAGTTTATTTTAATAAGATGCCGCGATATGATGATTTCTTCCATAATTAACTATTCCGTCACTTCATATTCCACCTAAAATCCTTTATCTTTCCCTACTTTCTTCTACAATGCCCTCTTAGCTAATTTTCGATCTTCCATTCCAGTCGAATATCCAATAATTTCAAATCTATTGAATTCTTGTTTCTACTTTTCTTATTATAATTTCTACTCCAACTGCTATTTTTAGCTTCTCATACACGAAAGGTGACCCTAAAGTCTATAAAAGAAGCTATTCTACAATTGTAAGAAGTTTTGTGTTATATGCACTTTAATGCTCGACTATTTTGCAGGACATTGCTACTTTTTGGTTTATTCGTTGGAATAATCTTCTGCTGGTGGTACAAAGCATACAAACATCGGCAACGTACGACAATTGTTCAACGCAGTGTTATTCCAATGCAAGTCGTTCAACCATATCCTCACCCACCTATGAATGGTCCTAACCGACAAACCATTCCTGGCTACCCACCATATGCATCATATGCCTTTGCTCCTCCCCCTTATTCTGTGGCAATGAATCAAGAATCAGGTCCACCGCCAAATTATTATCCACCAAACCATGCACCAAAAGCACAATAGTTGCAAACATTGATTGTAGATTCATTTTAAACACCAATGCACCTGGTATATTGTTGACTATCTAATGACGTGCAGGGCACTCAGTGATCTGATTTCGAAATGGATTGAATATCCAATATCTTTTTTCCGCGGTCAAACTTGGATGAGAGTTGCAACTCTCGCTCGTGTTTGCCAGCCAATTCTCATCGACTTTCATCCTCGTTTGACCAGGACTTTGCAGTAAAATGAAACCAGAAGTCATCCATTACTGAGGGACCAGATAATCTTTCTACCCTATTATGCTTAAATTTTCTTCGTTAGGCAAAATAATGTAGTCATCTGGAATATTTTGAAGACGTTTTGGTAGAAATGATAGACATTAATTCCGCACATTTGGTCCCCTAGTAATGTCTTGTCTATATAAACGTTTTAAAAAGCAGACGATTTAATCTGTCCAGATAATGAGCGCACTCAGCTCCATGCGTTTTATTCTATGGACGATTTATTTTACCAAGTTCCTGTAGTTAATATATGATATGTGATCTTTTATGTAAATATATAATGCAAGTAACTCATAAATATATAAAAATATACAAACTGAAGTTTACACGATTTTAATATAACATGACAGTTTCACCTAATTCGTGCAACCCCTATCCCCCCCCCCCCAAAAAAAAACCAACAACAAATCCCCTAAATCTGCCAGATCTACTGTACGCAGCCCTCGCAAGGCAACAGGGCCCGATCCCGCATAGCGTGTGGCTGACGCGGTGGGATTTTCGTGCATGGTTGTAACAATCCCCCCACCCCCAGGGTGACAGGAACCCTCAGCGCATCTCCTACGCGCATCTGATGACGTCACTTCCGGTTTCCCACAATCCCTTGCGCCCTTCTCGGAACCATCAGTCTACCGACCATCTCTTCCCCCTCCCGCGCACCACCACTAACCACCAATTTTCAAAAAAAAAACACCGCGCATGCGCGAACCACCTCCCACCCGATTCCCTGAAAAAGACGAATCTCTTCCAGGATTTCCCCAAGCCTCCGTCCCACCCGACTGTTAGAGTCTTCCCAAAGTCTTCATAAGGTCTTCCTAAGGTCTTCCCAAAGTCTTCCACCGGTAAACGGTTTAAAGGTAAAACTTTTCCATATAATAAAGGCACTATGTCTATTACCAGAGTATCAGACTTCTCCGAAAATTCGTTCGCATTTGAGGATTCCGTCAGGAACAGGTTCGGGTCTAAAAAGATCGGACTTGTGGCGGAAGACGGTGGACCTCTTTTACTCAAGCTGGAAAACTGCCTGGCCTATGGAATTAACAAGAACAACAAGTTCGGAAAGGACAACTATACCATTCCGTTAGCAGTCGGAACACATACGGAATTTATATCAGCTCTGGAAACGGTGGAGAAGAAGTGTGCTGCGGTCGTCGGAAAACCGACACCAATGTGATGAGATGTTTCTATCGGAGTGGAAGGCAACCGGTTTTGTATGCGAAAATTGACCAGAGTACAGCGATGTACAGGGAGGACGGGAGCGGGGACATAAGTCCGATGAAGGAGCGCGACGGACACTTCTACTTGGATGCTTTGATTAGGATTTCAAGCATATACATATCCGGAAATATGATTTCCGTTCAGGTAAAGCTTCAGGAGTCAAAGTATTTGAGGGAGAAGGTGGCGGAACCTTGGAAGAGGCTTTTGTGAACCTAGGATAAATTTTTAATATCCCTCGCAGACATTAAAAATAAACGCGCATGCTTTACTGTTTCCTTAGATCCTTATGTCCAATTGCTGTTGTGTTTATCCCATCCCTATTGACCAGCTCTTATCATCGTTTGCCGATAGGGCTACCTTAACAACCCTTTCCGTATATATTTCATGCAACCTACTTCTGAAGACATTCATTCCCCTCCATTGCCTTTTGCCGCTGAAGAGACATTCCTTATAGTTGTCGAATGTTATCTCCTTTTGATGACTGCTTTTTTAACACCCTTACACTTTTTCTCCTCATCACCATCTTCTGCCATTTTGTAGGCGTATAGCTTTGACCTTAACCCTGCGAACTCTTCAATCTGCTTTGCACCCGTTTCCAGCTTCATCATCCCGATAACCTTCTTATTTACACCTGTCCGAATTCCGGACGGATGGCTTTTGCCGAGATTGCTGGTGTCGAACTTTTCATGAACATCGTTGGAGATGTCCTTAAAGAAATCCTCGCTTTTAATTTCATAGCACAGGGAGTCCGTGTCCGTAAATAGAAGTCTGGGATTCTCTGGAATCGTACATGAGGGTTTTGCTTAGGTCGAGTATGCTCATCCCGAGGTAGATTGGTTTGTTTAGCTTTACAGATGTTCTTTTCATGTGAACTGCCACTAGGTTTTTCGGAGAAGATGGTTGCAGATTTAAAGTTATGCTTTTGAGCCAACTTGTTCCACTTCTTCTCGTCGTTAACGAGCCTGATGTCGACCCTATTCCTGACGTTTTCCATTGTTTTCCCGAATACCGAGTTGTTCATCAGCTTGAAGAAATCCTCGAAGTCCGTAGTACCTTTGGTACGCAGGTCCGTATTGAGTTGGATATATTTCTTCAGCCATGGCTCTTCGACGAATTTTACCCCCCGGTGTACCTTGGTTAACCTTAACCCTAGACTTAGGCATTGCTTTAGCGTATTTTGCCTTGTTGTTGAGATTCGGAATAAGCTTGTCCACCTTGTTGATCTCCATTCTCTCGGGCGCGAGGGGGTATTCGTTGTGCTTGTCATGCAGTTCCTCAGGGTACTCCAGGTCCACTTCAAGGATACAACCATAGTTCCTCCACTTTTCCAGCTCCTCACCACTCATCCATTTGAAGTCCCTGATGGGTAGGGGTTGACTCATTGCCCATTCGTACAGGTTGTTTGCATCCGTATAGGGGATGTGTATGCTTTCCTTTTTAGGACCGTACTTTGCCATGTACTTATTGTTTGCTATTGCATGCCTTTTAGTGATGGTACTGATTCCACCTATAATACCCTTTTCAATGAATAGGTACATATCCGGATCGGAGATAAGCTCCAATTCCACTTCCGTCAGCTTCAGCGCAGCGTCCCAAGCGAATCCGGGTGCTGTGTAGTACCACATTGGATCCAGTCCGAGGTTTGTCTTGCAGACCTTCCTAAAATTTTCCATCACGTCTGCCAGGAGCAGGACGTCCGTTTTCAGGTACAGGTCGTGATAGTCCCTCATAGTCTTCATACCGAAGACGTTCCACACGTCCTGCGCCCTTTCGTAATCCGCATCACTGATATCTGCATTGTTCAGCTTGCTAAAGAATCTGCTTTTCGGCGGAAGTGACGCTTTTCCGAGCTTATCGAAACCGTCCATGTATTCATAGGGGTAAACACCCTTCTGTTTAAGCAGCTCCTTTTGTTCTTTGGTGTAACATGTTGACATTAGGTCCAAATTCCTAAAGTCATCCTTTCCCAAACCCTTGACAAGCTTGTCCAGGGAGCTTGCCATAAACTTAAATGAGTCCAGGAACCTTAGATCCCTTTTGACCTTCTTTTTCTTACCATCCTTACCCCTAAACTCGTCAACCTCTATTTCTTTGGTAAAGGAGATGTACTTCTCTTCCGTTTTAGGGATACACTTAATATCACCGCTGCTTACCCCAAGGTTTTTGATGAATAGATGAGCATCGTACCCTTCGAGATTGTGGAAGAGTGCCGGAATAAACTTTGGTTGTTTCATCCTCAGATTGCATGTGTTGTGTGCCGCACCCCTATATACCTCGGTGTAGTGGCAATGGTCTCTTACCCTATGGTTTTCCGGAGTGAATTCTCCGTTGCAGGCATAGCATTTGGTTGCGTTCGATGTCTTTGGAAGACATTTTGATGGGTTCTGCGGTTTTGAACACATTGTATATATTGCGAATCTCCTCCTCAAGAAGGTCTACAAACTTTTTGGTAACGTCTTCTCCCTCATGTTGCTGGGTATAGTGTACCAGCTTGGGTTTGTAGATGGAATTGTCGAAACACTTAACATAGTAGCAAAATCCGCTGGGATTATGCTTCTGATATTGGACGGTGCTTGGCTTGTTCGGGTTTTGTTCCACCGTGTTTAACCCTTCTATATAGCACTCAAAGTCTGCATAGATGGTGAACGGAACGGTTTGTGTTTTTCCATAATTTTCGAACTTTGTGAACGGGTTCCGGATACTCATGCCTCTGATAATCATTGTCCGAACATAACTCCAGATGCTTTTCTAGGAGCTCATCCTAACCAAATGCGTTGAGGCTACGGTTGCAGATGTACTTTCTGCGCTTTCCCTCACTAATCTGTGCGCTTACAAGCCTGGATAGGTCCTTGATAACACTGTAGTGGTTCTTCCATAGGAATAGGTTTATTGGATCGGACTCTTTAGCTTGGTTAATCTTAACGGGTACACCTTTAGACTCTCATCAGCTCTGAATACGTTTACACCGATGTTGTTATTTTCTTCGAATTTTTTTATATTGTTTAGGGGTGTTGGGAACTCTGTTCCTTCCCAGTTTAGCTCTTTGGACTGTTCTTCGAGTTCCTTTGAAATTCTTTTGGGGTGGATGTTAATAAGATTCAACGCGCGGGTCACAGCCCACTTGAAGCACTCGTCGTCCGTATTTTTCATGTTGATGATCGCTTTCTTTTTCTCGATCGGTTTGGGTAGCGGCATGTGACCCTTTCCCCTAAGTGGTCGGAATTCTCCGATACGGATTTCGAACAGATCTACCATACGGACAGATCTACCACTACCGCGCTTTTGGTACTCTGAAAAGGACTTCAGCATTTTTTCCTTCATGATGTCGAGAGACTCTTCTGTGTCATCTATACCGATGAGTTTGTGGGTTTTTGACCTGAAGTGGGCGATGGTTGACACTTCCTCCCCAGTTTTTGGATCGTTCTTTACCATTTCGCATGCTAGGGACATGCTTACGTTTCTTGGTTCCGTTTCGGAATTTATCAGCGTTGTGACCTCGTCTTTTGTGATAGTCAGGAAGTAAGCCGGGTCGTACGCACCGTTGGGATTGATGACGTACTTTTTTACCTTCTTCTTAATGCCATGCTTGGTTAGGATGGGTGCTAGCTTCTCCTCCGGGTTGGTATCGTACCACTGTTCGTCCTAGTGTTCTCTTGCGTCATGCCATTGGTCTTCTTCCTCTTCCTCTTTGCTGTTGTTGTAGAGTTTTACTACCTTCTTCCTCATTGTGTTGAAGGCGTTGGATACACCTTTTCTGATGGTTGACGGTACGTGGGTGGTTAGCCAATTGTACCATTCCCTTATTTTGTCCGTAAGTCCTTGTCGGTTATTCATCTTTCCTTTTATTATATGGAAAAGTCCTTTTGTAAGCTAATCCTAAAGTTGATTTTGTTTTCCAAACCCAAAGGGTTTGAAAGTAGGAAAGATGAACAACCGACCGACAAGGACTGATCGGCAGAACAGGAGGATAGAGTCCTTTTGTTATATGGAAAAGTTTTACCTTTAAACTAATCCTAAAGTTGATTTTGAAAGTAACAATCATGACTGGTTCAGGGAATTATGGACTTGTAGATGAGGTCCTCTTTGTTATACAGAAAAATTTTTTTTCGAAAATGTTGATTTAGTTACGGTAAAACTTAAGATTGTGCTTCATGTGTTTGCACCAAAAGTCCCTGGTTATTCCCGATCCGGATCGCCCACAACGCGCAGTCGAGGCACTGTTTTTCGACCGGTCCTGGCTTTGGTTTCTGGACGTACGTTGTTTTTCCGGAGTAATGCTCGAACATGTTTTCTTTAGGCATGGCTTTTACTGTGGGGAGACTTGTCTTTAAATTAAAATTTTAATGCATCTCTTACATTAAAATTATACCGCGGGACCTTCGTATAAAGCTTCCCGCATTTCGGCCTCCATCTGCATTTCCTCCAGCATTTCCATCTCTCCTATCCGTGCTTCCACCATAATCTCCCCCTCCTCTGCGCGCCTCGCCCTTTCCTCGACCCTTTCCTCCGACCACTCCGCCCAGGACATAGAGGTATGAAACCAATTATTTGTGACATCCGTGGGTAAGCCTAGGCAAATCCTGTCCTTTGGACTTTCGATACAGCAGCCAATCACGTCGACGGATTCGGAAATGGTAATAAAAATATTAATACCCTTCGGACCTCCGGAAACGTAATCCACACCTCGGATTTCGGCGTCCTTTCTCATCCATCCTTTTCCGAACTTAATTCTATGTTTTGCCAGCAGACCTGTTTCACCCATGGTTAAGGTAATGACCGTCATGTCCCTGTAGTCGGTATACTTACATAATCTCTTAATCCGGTTCATCTTTTCCGGACAGTTGAAATATAATTGAACCTCGTTATTCGATCTTATGGGTCTCATCATGATTGTTTTATTTGTATGTAGGAAAGCCTTGTCTATAAAGTGTTGATTCTACCGATTTTTAATGTGGGGAATACATTAAAATTATATCATGTTTGATATCTCATCAATCTTTACCAAATAGAACATTTCGCATCCCAGCCCTTACCGGCGTTTCAACCAATTCATTATTCTCATACATTTCCTATAAAAAAATATTAAAACTTGCACCTTCTTCGCACTCACGCATTAACTTTTCCTCGTCCGTTTCCTCAGCCCTTTCCTCTTCGTGTATGTACGAACTTCCGAGATAATTTATGCTAATTTATAGGTTAAAATGGGCGCATGCGTAGTTGACATTAAATGGGCGCATGCGTAGTTGACATTAGTTGGCGCATGCGTAGATTGATTGAACATGGCGTGACTCAAAGAAAGGTTTCTGTAAAATTCTATAAAAGAACAGTTTTGTATTCAAATATACATGTGAAATTCATTCTAAAATCGTTACATGGTCCATCGAGTCGAATAATTCTATCAAAGGAAAGATGAGTCAACAAACAAAAGAGAAAAATCGAGAACAGCGCACCGATCTTACACAAGAAAGCTCATACACAAAGCTGGAGAAGTCTGTAACAACTATGATGGAACACAACCTGGAGAGATAAAGTTGGAGGGTTTGAAACGAGATTTATCGGAGAAACTTACTATCTTAGATAAACTGGATAATTCAATAATTGAAACTGTAGACGAGGAAAAGGATATCGAAGGGGAAATAAACGAATCAAGCGAATTTCGAAGATCTATTCATGAAGCAATATCGCAAATAGATTTATGTTTGCAGGAACATAAAGTCAAACATAATGGTGGGCATGATCCAAATGGCTCTTTGAGTTCAAGTTCTATGGTTAACAGTTCATATTCTGATGGCAAGCAAAATGTTCGCCTACCAAAGCTGAATTTAAAACATTTTAAAGGAGATCCAATCAAATTTCAAGCATTCTGGGACTCATTTGAAACCACAATTCATAATAATGAGGATGTATCGGATGTGAATAAAATGAGTTATTTGGTTAGTTTACTGGAGGGACCAGCTTATTCGGCTGTAGCTGGCCTTTCGCTTACAAGTGCAAATTATAAAACTGAAGTAGATACATTGAAAGAACGATTCGGTTGTGAAGAAGTAGTTATATCGGCCCACATGGATGCCCTACTTAAATTGCCAGGAGCTAATACAAATTCAGATACAAAGAAATTAAGAGGAATATATGATGAAGTAGAGCAACATGTACGTGGTTTGAAAGCAGTCGGAATTAGCAGTAAGCAGTATGGAAAATTACTTGTTCCTATTTTGATGAATAAAATCCCTCAAGAATTGCAACTGATAATAACAAGGAAATTGGGAAAGGAAAAATGGGATTTAGATGCATTACAGAATACTTTCAAGGAGGAACTGGAAGCTAGAGAGATGTGCGAATTCGTGACAGCTTCAAGGAATAATAATAAAGGGAAAGGTGGGGTGGTCGAGGGTATCCAACTACGGCAGAGGCATTACTAGCTCAAGGTCAGTATGAGAGAAAAGGGGGTGGCATAACATGTACGTACTGTCGCGGTAGTCATCCTAGTGCTCAATGCCATGTGATAACTGACGTGCAGGCCAGAAGAGAAGTTCTTGATCAAGAGCAAAGATAAATGTTACAATTGTTTAAGGGCAGGACGCATCAGTTATCAATGCCAGTCAACCACAAAATTTTATGTTTGTGGATACAGGCATCATATCAGTATATGTCCAAGGAGGGCCCATCCATCAAATTTCCCAAAGAAGAATGATTCTTCACAGTCTCCACCAGGTCCCCCAGATTCACCCAAATCCAATCCTACAGCAACTGTATTCTCAGATACAGAAGAGGGAATTTTATTGCAAACTGCCACAGCTCCTGTGTGTAATCCTAGACGTCCTGAAAAGATCGTGAGTGCACGAATTCTATTTGACAGTGGGTCTCAGAAAACTTATATTTCAAAGCGGTTAAAAGATGCCCTCGGTTTGTCTCCATTAAAATCGGACAGACTTATTATTAAAACATTCGGTACGGCGGGAGAAATGGTGAAAACCTGTGAAGAAGTTCAAGTTAGTGTACAGGGAAATCGAGATTTGAATCTTTATCTGACAGCACATTGTGTGCCAATTATATGTGCCCCTTTGCAAAATCAAAGAATTGAAGTAGCAGTGCGAGAATTTCCTCATCTAGAAGGTTTAGAGTTAGCTGATTCTGTCCATGATAAATCAGAATTAGAAGTTGATCTGTTAGTTGGGTCAGATTTCTATTGGCAGTTTATGACTGGAAGAGTCCAAAAGGGGGAGGCTGGGCCCACTGCAATTGAGTCGCACTTGGAGTGGATTTTATCTGGTCCATCAAGCTCTGTTACTTGTTAAACGGCTGCGGGGTGAACCTGAGCTCCTTAGAGAGTATGATAACATTCTTAAGGAGCAAAGGAAAACCGCTGTGATTGAAGATGCCCCAGAAGGCCCCGTATCAGTAGGCGAAGTTTACTATATCCCCCACCACTGTGTTGTCAGACAAGACAAGGACACCACAAAGGTACGTCTGGTGTATGATGCATCAGCAGAATCAAAGGGGATCTCATTAAATAACTGTTTACATTCTGGTCTCTGTCTTGTACCCACTCTATTTGATATTATGTTGAGATTTCGCTGTCATCTGTTTGCCTTGGTGGCAGACATAGAAAAAGCATTTCTTCAAATTGAGATTGCACCTGAGCACAGAGACTTTCTTCGGTTCCTGTGGATAGATGATATTAGTAACGAACAGCCAAATATTATTGTTCAACGAATGACAAGAGTTACATTCGGAGTTACTGCCTCACCATTTCTGTTAGCAGCTACCTTGCAATTTCATATTGCAAAGTACTACTCTATTGAACCCAAAATTGTAGACAACCTGCTTCGATCGTTTTATGTTGATGACCTCGCCTCGGGTGAAGATTCTTATCAGAAAACATATGAACTGTACGAAAGGGCAAAATCTATTCTACAAGAAGGGGGATTTACCTTACGTAAGTGGGCGACAAATAATTCAGACTTGCGTAGCAAAATTAGTCAAGATGACGGCAAGGATGATACAAATTCGAGCACAAACGAAGATGAATCCACCTACGCCAAAGCAACACTCGGTTCATCATCCAAGACTACTGTTAAAGGAACTGAACAAAAGGTGTTAGGGTTTCTGTGGAACCCTGATATGGATGTATTTATCATAAGATGCCAAGATTTAGTCAAGGCTGCAGAATCGTTCCTGCAACCAAGCGAAGTATTCTGAAGATCATTGCGAGTGTGTATGATCCAATGGGATTTATATAACCTGTTATACTTCCTATGAAGATGCTCTTTCAACAGCTGTGTATTGAAAAGGGCGATTGGGATGCTCCATTAATATCGCAATGTGAACGAAAGTGGCAGGGCTGGATAACAGAGTTAAGAAAGATTCCTGAGATCAAGATTGATAGATGCTGCATAGAGGAGAACATTTGTAAGGTAGAATTACACGGATTTTCGGATGCCAGCAAGGGAGCATTTGCCGCTGTTACTTACTTAAGAATCGAATCTGAAGAATCTGTAAAGTTAACCTTAATCGCCGCCAAGACAAGAGTAGCACCATTGAAACAACAAAGCTTACCGAGATTAGAGCTTCTTGGAGCATTATGTCTTGCAAAACTTGTATCAGCTGTTCGGAAAGCCATTGAGCCTGTCATCCCTATCAGTGCGATCTACTATTCGACTGATTCAATTACCACATTGTATTGGATACAGGGAACTAGCAAAGAGTTTAAGCAATTCGTGGAAAACAGAGTAGCGGAAATCAGAGAATTGAGTGACGCAGAGGGCTGGCGACATGTACCTGGGAAATCCAATCCTGCAGATCTACCATCTCGAGGTGTTCGGTTGGAAGATTTAGCTGATAATAGTTTATGGTGGAATGGTCCAACTTGGCTTCACGAATCTGAAGAACATTGGCCTCAATTCAAGAATGCAGAGCCTGACGAGGCCGCGGAGAAGGAAAAGAAGTTGAGCGAAAGATCGTTAGCGAAGTCGGATCGGTTCTACACACGTGTCAGTAATTCAAGTTCAGAACAGGCGTATAAATCTAGAACTATTAATCGATCCAAAAAGATACAGTTCTTCATTGAAATTATATCGGGTTACAGCTCTGGTATTAAGATTTGTGAAAATACTCAAACACAAATGCAAGGCGGCAGATAGTCGACAGCGGAATCGTGTCACAACTGACGAGATAAAATAGGCGGAAGTGCCATGGTTCCAAACCGTTCAGAGAACCATTATCGATGGTAGGAAATTCTCACAAGTTCAAAGGTCTCTAGGACTTTACAGCGACGATTCAAAGCTTCTACGTTGTAAAGGAAGAATATCTAAAGCGGCCATACTGACAGAAACGAAGAATCCGATTATTCTACCGAACTACCATCACTTAACTTCGATTATAATTCGTGAGTGTCATGAACGAGTGCTTCATAATGGGGTGCAAGACAGGTACCTTATGCTGTTTAAGAGAACGATTCTGGACTGTCAAATGTAGACAAACAGTTAAACGTGTGATTGGGAAGTGCGTAACTTGTCGTAAATTCGAAGGAAAGGCTTATACACCGCCAACTCAAGCAGACCTTCCCAAATTCCGTGTTACTCAAGATTTTCCATTTAGTCACGTTGGGGTAGATTTCGCGGGACCAATTTACGTAAAATCGGTTGCTAAAGGACAAACCGAAATGACCAAAGCATATATGTTTCTGTCCTTATGACAGCATCCAGTTAAAAATAGAGATCAGGAATGCGACCGCAAAAGACAAGGACCGCGGGCGCAAAAACGTGAGACGAACGTTTTATTGTCGTATCGAAAGATTGTTTTGCGAATTCCGTTAAATATTATGTAAATTTCTTGTTAAAATACACGAAAAATCTGAAAGCTATTTGTTCCACGTAAAATCGTCTTGACTTTTCTCACGATGGAGAAACATTTGGTCCTTTGGAGCCGGATCTAGAGTGGAAAAATAGCGAGATTTGACCACGAATTTGACTCGAAAAATTTGACTATAAAATGGCGACAAACGAAAACATTCTTCGAGAACGAAAGAAATCAGCGAAAGGAAGACTTACGAAAGCGAGAAATCAACTAAAAAGCTTGCTGAACACTCAATTATACGGACAGTTAACGAGTAAGAATACTATTCGACGAGCTATTAACAAGGTAAGCTCAGAATATGACATTATCGAAAAAATTATTAATGCTTTAAAGGAAATTTATGCTGTTAGTACATCCCACGACGAAAATACGGACACGTTAATTGAAAATCTCGATAAAGAGCTTGAAGAAATTGGAGCTCTGGTTGACGAAAGCCAAAAATTAGCCTACGAACATATAAAACAGCGAGAAGACAACGGTGAAACAGTTTCTGTATCGTTATCAACTGTATCGAAACCTTATTCAGTCGAAGAACAGACACATCCGGAAGTTAAGGAGGCTAATGACAGATTTTTACAAATACAAGAAGAACAACGACGGCAAGAAGAAGAGTTAGAACAACGACATGTTGAACTAAAGGATAGACTATTGCATTTCCAGCAAGAACAAAGACAGAAAGAAGATGAGTTGCAAAAACGAACAGCTGAACTTGAGCTTACAAAACGACGAGCTGAAGAAGCACGAAAAATAACTGAATTAAACCAAATTAGAGCGGAAACCGCTGACCATGCCTCCAATTCCCACCACGACAGTTTAGAGAACACTCTCAATAATATCAATTTGCTTCCACCCACACCTTCAGTGCAACCTAATTATAAAACAGCCAAAAGAAATGGAACAGTTAAATTGAAAGGTGTGGATTTACCAAACTTTTCAGGCGAAAATAAGGCAGACTATGAGTCATGGAAAGCTGCATTCATGGCCATCATTGATAAAGCAGAGATTCCAGTTAGTGAAAAGATGTTACGCCTCCAAAGTAGTTTATCTGGGAAGGCATTAGTTATGGTCAAAGACCTTGGCTACTCACTGAATGCATATGAGAGAGCAAAGTCCAAACTGGAAAAGAAATATGGCGGAGAAAGACGACTGATGATAAAACATTTAACAGCCTTGCGTGATATGCCAAAGATTAAGTCACGGAACCTTGAAGACATGGAACATTTTCTGGTCATTTTGGAACGTGTCATGATTGCATTGCAAGACAGTGGACCGGGTAGAGAACTGACAGGGCAAAATTTGAATCTCACCGCAAAAGAGAAGTTATCACAAAGAGATGTTCAAGCATACAAATACTGGCTTATTGAACATTCCAATGAGGATAACTTTGAAACCCTAGTTGAATGGGTAGAACTTCAAGTTCAAATTATGGAAGAAGCCCAAGAAGAGACAAGTGGCCTCGGAACTAAGCCAGAAGAGCGGAAATACTTTAGAGGCAATGACAGACGTCACAACCGGGGATTTAACAACACACACAAGCCGACCAGTTGCATTGTCACCTCGTGCAAAGAAAATCATCCACCATGGGTGTGTGGTGCATTCAAAGCCTTGCCAGTATCCCAAAGAAAGGAACTAATCAGCAACAGTAAACGCTGCTTCAGGTGTTTAGCAGCTGGTCACCGCAGAAGAGATTGCCCTAATGTAAGACGGTGTGGTCTTAATGGGTGCAACAGTGACGAACATAGTCGATATCTCCATGAAGATAGCCACCAACCGCATGAGACAAACCAACCCAAGCCAGGACAACACCCAGGAAACAACCAGCGAGACGAGACAAGTAATCAAAATGAAGCAACAGCCGAGACCAGAACACATACAACCAGGCAAGCCGACTATGTATCACTTATGGTTTTACCAGCAGTGATTAGTAATGGTACAAAAACACTGAAGGTGAATGTAATGCTAGACAACTGTTCAACTGGTTCATATGTGTCTGATGCCGCAGCGGAAGAACTTACGCTACAAGGGAAAAGCCAACAACTTACAATTTCAGGAACAGGCGGTACAGAGGTTAAGAAACATTCACGTCAAGTTGAAGTGATGGTAACCAGTCTCGACAAAAAGTTTTCTGCTAATCTACAAGCCAATGTTCTAGATAATATATCGGGCGACACCCCAGCGTTTGAGTGGTCCAAGCTGAAGAAAGAGTGGCCCCATCTACAGTCAATCCCGTTCCCGAATGTTGCGAAGCGTCGACAAATTGATGTCCTTATTGGATCAGACAACCCCATATTTCACCATATTCTACAAGAGGTACATGGAACTAAAGCGAGAGATCCAATTGCACGCAAGACAAGTCTCGGTTGGGTTTGTTTTGGCCCTACGCTTACCGAACAGTTTCGACGATCATCCAAATCCTATTTCACACGCACCTACCGCACTGATCAGACCGAAGAACAAGGTTCTGATGATATTCTACGACGGTTTTGGGAGCTAGAAGCCATCGGTATTCGAGATGAAACGGAAAGAGAATTGACGCCAGACGAGAAGGCAGCAGTAGCCCAAGTAACAGAAACATTACGTTTGAGAGACGGTCGATACGAGATTGGCATTCCGTGGAAAAGAGGCGAACCACACCTAGTAAACAACTACGAAATGGCTTTAAACAGACTCAAGACCCAAGAAAGATCCCTAGTACGAAAAGGTTCCGAAGTAGCAAACACATATGACGAGATCATCAAGGATTACGAAAGAAAAGGCTATGTTAAAAAAGTGCCCAAGAGCAATGAACTTGAACAGTGGTTTCTCCCACATTTCCCAGTGATAAGACAGGATCGAACAACAACTAAAGTGCGTATGGTCTTTGATGCCGCTGCCAAAGACAACGGGAAATGTCTCAATGATGCTGTGCGACCTGGTCCGAAACTTCAAAGAGAGTTAACTGATGTATTGACACGCTTTCGACGAGCCCCTATAGCCCTATCTGGAGACATCTCGGAGATGTTTCTACAAGTTGGTCTTATTGAGGAAGATCGACGTTACCACAGGTTTCTCTGGCGCGACTTTGATTCAAGAAAAGATCCAGATCACTACGAGTTTAAACGACTCCTGTTTGGTAACAGGGCTTCCCCATTCTGTGCACAACACGTTGTGCACACCCACGCGAAAGTTCACGCTGCAGATTACCCTCATGCTGCAGAAACTGTTGACAATTCTATGTATGTGGACGATGTGTTAGACTCATTTGAGACGGTAGACGAGGCTATACAACTACGACATGAACTGTCAGAGTTGCTTGCTATGTGCAATTTCAAGCTGAGAAAATGGTCATCCAATGATTCCACCGTCCTGAACGACATTCCGACAGAAGACCGTCTGCAGAGCTTTGAGATCCATGACACGGAGGAGTCCCCCAAGACAAAGACTCTCGGTATACTGTGGGAATCAACGAGCGATGTTTTTACTTTCCGGGTCCAACCACCCAATGTGGATATGAAGTTGACAAAAAGAAACGTTCTCAGCACTATAGCGACTATCTTTGACCCACTGCAGTTCTTGGCCCCCTTCACCCTACGTGCTAAGATTTTGATGCAGGAAATCTGGATAGCTGGAATCGGTTGGGACGATCTCCTTACAGACGGATTGATTTTCAAGTGGAAAAAATGGGTCTCGGAACTACGTGAATTATCGCAGGTCACTATTCCTCGAAGTCTCCGTCTACCCAGTCCTTCCCAAAGTCGGTTACACGTATTTTCAGATGCATCAAAAGAAGCTTATGCTACGGTAGCCTACTTAGTTTGTCGATATTCTGACGAGAGCACGACCTCGAGAATTGTTGCGTCGAAAAGTAGAGTGGCACCAACAAAAGCAGTGACGATACCACGGCTAGAACTCATGGGTGCAGTTCTTTCCACTCGACTGGCAAAGAACATTAGCAAGACCTTAGAAGTTGGAGAACCTATATTCTGGACTGACTCGACAAACGTGTTGTACTGGATACGAAACCAAAGTCGTGATTTCAAGCCGTTTGTAGCCAACCGAATCGGCGAAATTCACAGATCCACTAACCCACAGCAGTGGAGACATATACCTGGAGAGTCGAATCCAGCAGACCTGCCAACAAGAGGATTGTCAGCCACAGACCTAGCAAACAACGAATTGTGGAAGAAGGGACCAGAAATTCTACAACAAGACGAGTCAACATGGCCCCCTCAAATCCCCAACGAAGAAATTCAGAGAAATATTGTCGAAGGCGAAAGACGAAAGGTTAACGTTACTCACACAACAAGGGACAGTTCAAACCAAAGTCTCATTGATCCAAATCGTTTCTCGAGCTTTCAAAGATTAGTGCGCGTCACCGGATGGGTTCGACGTTTCCTGAGTAATTGCAAACAGCCTAACGAAAACCGAGAAAAAAGTCGGACGCTCCGAGCACAAGAATTACAGCAAGCAGAGACATATTGGTTTAAACGAACACAGAGCGAGGCGTTTCCCGACGGTGTGAAAGAAAAGTGTTTGATTCAATTAAATCCAAAGAAAGACGAGAATGGTTTATTACGATCTGACGGCCGATTACGCAACGCCACTGACGTGCCATATGGTGTTAGACACCCCATTTTATTACCCAAAGATCATACTGTAACACGTCTGATAATTATAAGTGCACACGAAAATCTCGGACACGGTTCTGGTGTTGAACATGTTCTAACTGAGCTGCGTGCCCGATTCTGGATAATCAAAGGAAGACGAACTGTGCGAAATACGATTGAAAAGTGTCCTGGCTGTCGTAGACGATTCACCGGAAAACCAACTACTCAAATGATGGCTCCGTTACCGATGTCAAGATTGCAATGCCCCCTACGAGCCTTTGAACGCGTTGGTGTGGATTACGGCGGACCATACTTGACCAAACAGGGAAGAGGCAAGACAAGAGCAAAACGTTACCTGTGTCTATTTACTTGTCTTACTACACGGGCTGTACATTTGGAAATGGCGTATTCCCTGGATACAGATTCCTTTATAAACGCGTTTACCAGGATGGTAGCAAGGAGGGGGAAGCCGACATACGTAGTTTCTGATAACGGTACCAACTTTGTTGGAGCGGAACGAGAACTGCGAGAGTTAGTAGAAGCATTTGATCTAGAAAAAATTACAAACAAGACAACACAAGATTATGCGATGGAGTGGAAGTTCAATCCACCATCGGCCCCACACTTCGGTGGTGTATTCGAGGCAATGATCAAGAGTGCTAAAAAAGCCATAAAAGCTATTCTTGGTAATGCGGACATTACCGACGAGGAACTTCATACTGCCATTTGCGATGCAGAACGTTTATTAAACTCACGACCAATCACCTTCATCAGTTCAGATCCTGAAGATCTTTCCCCGTTGACCCCGAGTCATTTCCTTATCGGACAGTTGGGAGGAAAATTTGCTCCTGAAACCGCAGATCGAGATGAAGTTTTCAACCCCCGAAAGCGTTGGCATCGTGTACAGCAGTTGGTGGGGCAGTTTTGGAAACGCTGGAGGAGAGAGTTTCTGCCGAGCTTAAATACACGAAAGAAGTGGTTTCATCCGACACACAACCTAAAGGAGGACGACGTAGTGATGTTAGTAGAGCCGAATGCAAAGAGAGGAGAATGGCCTCTTGGTCGAGTTATCGAAGTATTTCCTGGAAATGATGGATTGGTACGAGTTGTAAGGATAAAAACGAAAGACGGTGAATACTTGCGTCCGGTGCACCGGTTGTGCCCTTTTGAATACGCAGGAGACAATTCATAACGCTCGGACTGTTACCTAAGACATTGAACACATCGCAGTTATATATTAACTAGTTTTGTTAGTTGGGTTCGAATGTTTTTACATTCGGGAGGGGGATGTTTCTGTCCTTATGACAGCATCCAGTTAAAAATAGAGATCAGGAATGCGACCGCAAAAGACAAGGACCGCGGGCGCAAAAAACGTGAGACGAACGTTTTATTGTCGTATCGAAAGATTGTTTTGCGAATTCCGTTAAATATTATGTAAATTTCTTGTTAAAATACACGAAAAATCTGAAAGCTATTTGTTCCACGTAAAATCGTCTTGACTTTTCTCACGATGGAGAAACAACAATTGTCACGACATTTTCAGATATCTATCAGTGCAAGTTCAAATTTCTTTACTAGGCATATTTGCCAACATCGACAAAGGTTCGTTCACTTCATTTTTATTAATTCGCTTTCTCGCTCGATATTTTTGGGAAAAGGATGATTTGTTTGACATTGTAAGCTGTTGACCCCAACCGGTCGTAGTGTACTTATGAAAATTTGAACATGTTTCATTTATCAAATTTGTTGCAGTGACTAACAGGAAAAAACACGCAATGATATGTATATTGAGACAAATTAATTTTTGATATTATCCGGGAGAAAATGTATACAAGGCAGCCGAGCAGCAATTTATAATTTTTTGTTCAACAAATCGCAGGAAGATATATATAAAGTTCTTTGTATTTATTCAAGATAGTTAACAAAAATCGAACATAATTCAGGTTATATTTCTCGGTTTATTTAACCGGCGCTCCTTGTATATGTATAGCCCATTCAGTATCATTTTATGGTCATTATCAGTCATAGGAGACACGCGCTAGCTTCTATAGATATAGAGCGTTTGCACATGACGTCGAACCGCCATGTTGGTGTTTGTAATTAGACTCTTGTCCGGAACACCAACACGGCCGCCATAGCTTTAGTTAAGTTGGTCCCTGGGGAATGAGTGCAAACGCTCTATAACCTAATGGCATTATACCCTAAATCTGAAAAGTCTTTAACCTATATGTATGGCGTGTCTAACTGCATGACTATGTATTAATCTTGAACGAACAAACTGTATAAAACGCATCAAAGCACGACCATCACGCACGTTTTGCTTTTACTTTATATTTTTAATTGGAAACAGACGACAAAACCAAATGAACATTGTTTCGTTCTGCATTAATAATAGTTTGCTAGAAAGGATATATAATATAGATGTACAAATTTAAATAAAAATATTGTTAATCCTTTTTGTTTCGTGGACAATCAACCACATTTTTGTGACCTTTCATTGGCTGCTTGCACATCTGGCGCACTTCTTAGTTTAGGAGGATGATTACCCTGGCTGCCAATTGCAGCTGTAGGAACTAAAATAACAGAATGTCACAAACTTAGGATGGTCAACCATCATTTCATTATTCACTAGAGTACCGCTCACGGGAAAGTTAACAGTCCCGTTCCCGTCCCGCGGGACGAGAAGTTCTTCCCGCGAGATGAAAGTAACTTTTCATCGTTAGTGAGGGTCACCGAGACAAAAAGAAGAAGCGAAGGGTCCTTATAAAGTTCATGTGTGGGCTGGCATTTCGAAGCGTGGGCCAACCGGCATAACCGTTTTCATTGGATGCATGCAGGATTTTTTGTTGAAACTATTTTGAGAAAAACTTTGCTTCCCTTCATTTCATCACATTTTCCCAAAGGCCATCGCTTTCGACAAGACAACGATCCGAAACATACGTGTAACTTGGCGAAAAGCATTCTTTGAGGACGAAGCGGTAAATTGGAGGCGAACACCGCCAGAGACTCCTAATCTTAATCCCACTGAACCCGTGTGGCATTAGCTTAAACATCATCTAAGAACAGTGTGGTTAAACCAAGAACGAAGGATGCTTAAGTTGACGGTATTACCCAATTTTGGGCTCAAGCGATGACCGTCGAAAAATGTAAAAGATATACACATATACAGAATTACCAATATCAATTCAGTACTGGTAGTGAACGACATTATGCTAGTAGAAACATGAAAAATTAAATCTAAAAGTTCAAGTAGTGCTGGAAACCTAGGAGCTAAGTTAGTGAATACAGTATTTAAAAAGGTCGAACTAAAAAATAGAAATTGATGAGTTAATAGAGACCTTACGATTTTAGGACGGCGACGACAACGGCCAAAACAAACTGCTTCGAATAAATGGTAGCAAAGATAATTCGTTGTATATTATCAATCGTATGAATTTATTAGTCTTAGAAGTTGAAGATATGGGTTTTATGAATGGAATTTTATGACTGAATCCTGTTTGAAGTTGCACTTGTTGCGGCTTGAAATGCAGCCGTTGTATCAAGATGTGAAAATCAGTGATTTGGCGTTGTAAACAGTATCTTGTAATTACTCAATTATTTTCAATGATCTTATTGTATTGGTAGCCGTTGCCGTCGCGTTGCCTTCTAAAATCGTAAGGTCTCTAAGGTCTCTATTAAGACGCGGAAACCGAGCTAGGGCAAAAGCATTACAAATACGTTAAATTAACTTGCAAATATAAATATAGGCGAAATAATAATAACTTACTGACCGAGAGTGAGGGCAGTACGGGAAAATATCCAACCGAGGTCTTGCTGTATTGACCGAGCGATAGCGAAGCCAATACAGCAAGACCGAGGTTGGATATTTTCCCGTACTGCCCGAACGGGATTTATCTAACAAAGACAGAAATTTTCAGGGGAAAATTATAAATATGTGTCTGCTTTAGTTGTATTTTTTATTTAGGACGGTGTCAAATTCCTCCTGTCACATAGTCAAAACACAAATATTCCTGACTGCTCTTATACTTATATTGTAAAATTTACCTTGTAATTTTGACTTTCGCTAGCAAACACGTATTGAGAAAGTTCCTTAACCATAGCAGTTGCTCCTTTTTTTTATTTTAGGTTGATTTTTCTTCGTTTTGAAAGTTTTGAAAGACTTTTAGACACTTTTACTGTTTGCAGAAACTCGGCTTTCATCGCAGGGCAATAAAAATTGCGTACGGGAAAATCCTGCCTCGTCAGCAGCCAATCAAATTGCGCGATTCATCAAAACAAATGCTTGCCATATAATAAATGTTCTTATTTAATTGTAACTTGTGCACTAAAGTTTTAATTGTCATTCACATGCATTGTGTTCTCTGAAAATATTTATATTAGAGTCTTAGAGAGGTTAAAAAGATACTCGGGGCCCGCTTCACGGGTACTCGTCATTTTGTTTAGAATTTTTTTCTAGTATTTGCATGTTTAATTAACCATACTTTTTTTCTGTTTGTTGCGATAGACTATCATCGTCTATGACCTTTTGCAAAGGAACACATACGGAATTTACGAAAGAAAATGTAATATAAACATTGATTTAATTTTTGTAGTTTCCTTTATTTCGTGCTTACAAATAGTATTTGTGCGAAATTGTAGTACGCGCGATAAGATTTTTATATTCAGGAGCGGGATTCCAATCTCGTGGGATTCGCTGAAGGATTTTTAACTTTCCCGCGAGCGGTGTTGGATCAGAACTAATTTGAAAATACCTGGGTTTGTTGGAGGAACATCCACAAGTTACATTCTATCCCTTGTATTCCTTTTTTGAATAGCTTCTTCTCTTGACTGCTTATTAAGCATAGTATATGCATGGGAGGTGGTGTTTGTTCCTTCAGTTCATCTATAGTTTTTTTCTCGCAAATAGCGTCTATCATGGATTGTGATATATGTCCTCCACATAATCTATTAAAAACAAAAAATGTATATTTATACTGTTTTTCATCAAAAACAATTGAAAGGAGTCCTCTTCATTGTCAATTGTTTGATGTTATAAACCGCTCTAAACTATGTAGTGGTGGCATTCAGAGAAACTTTGCCACACTGTACATTGTATGTAATTGTAAATGACTAACCAATCACCTTACCAAAGTTTTGCTTGACTGGAACCTTTCTGACAACTGCTTCTCCATTCATGAACTTGGGATAAACAACATTGCATTGTTCAACACCATTTTTCATTCTTGTTTCCCGAGATAGGTTTTGATTGAAGTGCATAACCGCTAAGGCATGCCTGCAAAAAATTACACATGTATACTCGTTATGGACATGTATACTCCTAAGGCGTCTTTGACATAATTTTCACTGTTGGTAGAAGGGAGCACCCCCCTGAAAAATCTGCAGTGCAACCCTCAGATGAGACTGAACCGCCCCTGTGCAGTATTCAAAGTGTACAGTATGCCAAACCTACATCATTACAGTACCTGTACAATACATACCTACATGTACAAAACATTCCTCTGTAAGTGAGAGAATTGATTCAGCACAGAATGGAATCCGTCCAAACAACTCGTTTGTTCGATTGGGCAAGCTTGCTTTATTCCTTTCACCAGCGTTTTGTTAGTGAGAGATGAACACATTTTTTCATAGACAATACAATCTAGGAAAAATGTCATAACAAACATCACTGCAGATGATCAGAATGTCTGAAATAGAACAGTGCAAAACGTGTGCATTATGCAGTACCTTTATCTAACCTTTTTCGCGGCTCAATTATCTCTCTGTGCCTACATTTGTTGAACAACGGATTTTTCAGATTTTTATGTTCATCAACCACATGACTTCAGAATGATGAGAACATAGCCCAAATAACTTCACTATTTCCATCATGTGTGGTTCTTGCACTCCAGTATAAGTGGTTTGTACAAGGCTTTATCCATTCTGTTACTGCTTCGCATCCACTCACTTTAGCAAGTTTTGTCAATACCTTTGTAACCTCTGTATGGAAAAGACAAAAACGATTTTTAGTGTTTTTTTACAGTAATGGTTACTTTGATATGTTACTGGTTCTCATTCTTATGGTAGGCTGATGATTGTACAGTATTTGTCAGGAAAAATTGTATAAAATCAAACAGGATCAGGAGAACTTATACCATATCTTATATATTTCAGTAACTATTTATGAACATCATACATTTCTTAAGATGCCAGATGTCAAAGTAATGAGTTATGTTTGACAACTTTTCCCTCTTATGCTTTGCTATTGTTGAGTGTCTATCAGGCACAAATGTCTTCACCACAAGACTCAAACCAAACAGATACTCAATGCTTCGGCAAAAACCAGCATATTCCATTGCTGGACTACTGCCAATTGCATTTCTTTAGTAGAACAGAAATACATGTGCCATTAGCATTACTTTACACCATAAAGTGATATCTTAACCTATAGAGGTACTTACTCAGTTGTGCCATAGTATTGTTAATCTTCATGAGACAAAATCACTTTCAACTTCTATAGACTCATTGCACATGACGTCACAGCGTGACGATGCATCTGGAGGACAAAGTAGCAATCTATGCATATAATATAGGTTTTGTAAACAAAGGAAATTTTGTAGAACTTTATAATAATTTTGTATTGAAATGGTTAATTTTTGCGCTGTTTGTGGTTGTTGTACCGAAGCAGATATTGTTAGGACACTCCAAGAATTTGTGACGTCAGTGCAATGGGTCTATATGAGATGTTTTACCTCTAGTAGATTTAAAGCGAAGGTGCTAAAGACATACCTGTACAATGGCAAAATGAATTATAAAGAGTATACAGTGCAACACAATACAGTACATGCACTGTACTTTGCACTGTGACCCATACTGTCATGTCGTCCATCCCCAGCAATGACTGTTTCTCTGTATCCTTTTACGTTCTCCACCAATGCAGCCTGGTACTTCTTCCAGTGAAGATAAATTGATGGGAACAACTTTTCCTACAAAATATATAACATATATTATGTAGCATGCAAACCTAACCTAGTACAGTGTGGCCGAATGCATAGGCGTAGCTGCGCCCCAGATTGTTTGGCAAACTAGGTCAGTCGAGCAATATTTGCTTCACAGTCGGGCAATATTGGCTTATTATGAACATAAATAGGAGAAATTCCCTCAATATTGGGGGAAATCTGGAAGAATTTTGGAACGTTTGTACGGAAAAATTTTTCTGACAAGTCGGACATAATGGGAATTTTTTTCCCTTCCCGTACGCCTATGCCCAAATGCATCATGTTTCCTACTCATTTCCATGATGTTTCCCTGAACATAAAGTAAAAATCTAATTTTCAAACTTACTCGTTTATATTTGAAGAAAGTTGTCAAAAAGACATATGTCATTCCCATATGTTTGAGCACTCTAAAAACTTTGGTTGCTGATGTACTTGCAACAAAGGATCCCGAAGCTAAACAACAAGTTATCAGCTGCAATTTTCGTTCCAGGGAAATAGGGTTGACTGTACCAAGTTGTGCCTAGGGTTGATTGTACCTCGAACGTCGGCTTTAAGCCAAGATAAATCCATCGGGCCTTCGGCCCTCGGGATTTATCTGGCTAAAAGCCTCCGTTCTCGGTGTTTAACCTATACTGTACTTAACGTTTGAGTTGTCTAACGCTGAGAGCATTCATTTCATGACATACTGTAATCCTTGTGCCACACCGGTGTATATTTTGTGCGCGCAGATCGGCGTGGTAGATTTGCAATGGTCTAAGCAAAGGATTCACCGTCTAATGATGGTACGTGTTCGTGGTTGGGTTCATTCGCAATCGAATGGTTCTCGGGTTCCCTACTGTTTTGTCCAGGTCCAACCCCAGGATCCATACCAGCAACTGGTGCTGTTGTAGGTCTTTCTTGCGATGTCCGGAGTTGTCGGCGATTTCGTCGGTATTTCCTACCACTCACATCTACTTTGTACGACCTAGTATCCAAAACTCTAGTACACGTTCCAAGCGTCTATTATGTTGCATTTGGTATAATTTCATTTGTATAGCTTGACCCTTTTTTAATGGTTTAAGAGGATGGCGCGTCTTGTTATAACGGCGAATTTGTCGTGATTTCCGAGCAGCCAGTTTATCCCATTGAACTATAAGTAAACTGGAAGGCTAACTCCTACGATGAAGGCCTATGATTCTTTGAAGCCAACGCGCGGGAAAATCAGCTTTCAAAAGGACTAAGGAGAGTTGCGAGGAGTGAAAAAATTCGATCAAAAATTTGTTTTCGAGCGAAAATGTCCAAGAAAAATACTTTTTCCAAGGGAATACTTGCTTTTGCATTTTGAAAAAATGACGACGTGTGGACGTGCCGAAGGAAACCTCGCTCTTTAACTCGAAAAAATACTATAAAACATTTTGACAGTCCAAAAACTTAGTGTCTGCTAACCCCAAGGTATTGGTATTTATCCTGAGCTTCTAGTCCTTGTTTTATTCCTTCTAAAGCATGAATAAATTGACTTTTTCAAGTGATGTGATTTTCTTTGCCGCATCTTCTTGTTGGGCATTTATATGAGCACGTATAAGGCAGTCAAGCTAGCTTTGATAATGCTTATTTTAACAGTAAGTCGTGGGTACTTGAAAATAAATTTGGAAAAGTATTTAATACTTTTCTACATAATTTGTATCATAAAATCTCTTAACTCTTTTTGGAAAGTCTCATAACTCAGAAAAACCAAACATTTTCGCGCGGTTTTTTGACAAATTTTGTTTTGGCTCAGTTGGCTCTGTAATATTTTAGCAGCTGAACGATATTTATTTACTGTAAGTACTTGAGTGAAAAGATTGACTGTTTTAGTATGCTCTAAAATAAAAAAGGAAAGGGCGAATGAAAATTAAAGGAGTAAAATTCATCGATAGATAAAGTGTGTATTTTTCAAATTGCAAAAAGGACTGGCACTACCTACAAAGCACGCCTTCAATCCCCTCCCCCTGAGTTAGCCTTACAGTTTACTTATAGTTGAGTGGTTTATCCCTATTGCCTTCGTTGATTGGTTGTTTAAGGAGATTTTTGTGAGTCGGCAACAGTATTTGCGTACGTCGCCTCATCAACATTTAGGCAGGTAATGATCCCAGACCTTCTATGGGGGTGCTTTTCCAGTCTAAAAGTGCTAACGATGGGTTTTGACCAGAATTTTGGCTTCTGTCTCTGCTCGGCCATTAGATTGTGGGTAACGAGGACTGGAAGGTAGATGCTTAAACTGCCAATTTCTTGAAAATTCTGTGGCAGAAAACTGAGGTCGGTTGTCCGTTATCACTGTATCCGGGATTCCATGTCGTGCAAACTGGATTAATTTGCAGGCTACTATGACTTTATCAGCGGTAGTTCTCGTAAGTTATTGGACTTCGAAGAATCCACCCCAGTGGTCAACAAGCAGAACAAAGTGTTGTTTTCCAAGCTCAAAAAGGTCAATACTGACCGTTTCCCAGGGACGGAATGGTATTGGGAATGGTTTTAATTCTTCACAACATTGTACAGGTTAATACGCCTGCCATGTTGCGCGTTTTGAAGTCTTTAACATCTGCGTTCACGAGTGTTCAATATAATACCTCACGGGCTCTCCGAAGACGTAATTCTATGTCAATGTGAGATCCGCGAATCTGCGTCAGCATTTCTTTTCTCATTGATGTGGGGACTATTAAACGTTCACCAGCGAAAACTTGTCCATTATCTACTACTAGTTCACTTCTTTTGCCGTAGAACGGTGCCAAGTTATGGCTGCACTGTCTCTTGGATCTAGGCCATCATTCCTTACTCTGTATGGTTTTATCTGGCGGTGTCTCGCGCTTGAACTAGTTGAGTCTTTCCGGAAAAATAGACAGATACTCTGTATCAGGGGCGCCGGAAGAAATGTGAAGCGGCGGGGGCAGCCATTTCAAAAGGGCACTTGCTTCTCAGCCATATTTTTTCTGGGCAGCATCAACCTCGTACCCGGGCTCTTTCCACTACGCGCCTCGCTATTTTCTTAATTATTTTGTTCTTATGTTACTTTTTTAAAGCGAAGCGCGTAGTGAAAAGAGCCTGGGTACGAGGTTGGGCAGCAATATTTGTTAAAACGTTACTGTATGGATACTCGATTACTTTTGGCTATTATGGGTCGCAAACGTCGGCACACCGGAATGATGTGAAGGCAAGGGGGCAGATTTTCGTGAAAGGGCACTTTTGAATTGATATATACTAAGAGATGTTTGCAAAACATCGGGAGTTGAACTTCGCCTAATCATGTTTTCCATTTATTGGATGATACGGGTGTGAGGGGGTTCTCTGCTAGGCGATTGTGCTATTCTTGAAGCTCGATGACTGCATTTCTTGCGTTTTCTGAAGCAGATTCGTAAAGAATTGCACTAGCTTTTCTGACAATTCTCTATTTCGCAAAGGCAATCATTTAAATTGAAAGGGCACCTTTGCCCCCCTTGCCCCTCCTGGTAAAGGGCAACGGGGGCCGCTGCCCCTCCTGCCCCCCAGTTCCGGCGTCCCTGCTCTGTATGGTCGATCTCTTTCAGGGCTCGTATCTCAGTCGTGTCATGACGCCAATATTCTATTGTGTTTCGAATTGCACGACTCAGGGTGTAAGATATGCACATGAGTTTGCCTTTCTTGTACTGCACGTTGAGATTGTTATTTTGGACGGCCAGCAACATTCTCTACAACTGTCTAGGCGAGCTATGTATGGGTTTGATGCAAACTGCCTTAAGCGGTTCATCATAATCGTATTCTATGGTAACGGTTTCTCGACCGAGAATATACTGATCGAAATTGCTTGTTGCCCAGACAATCGCTAGTATTTCTTTTTCAATCTGGGCGTAACGAGTTTCTGTATGTGTGAGTGGCCTCGAAGCGAAAACAACGGGTTGTCCTACAGGTCCGTCTTGCGTTAAGACAGCGCCTACAGTAGGCCAGTGTCACTAGCATCACATTCAATAGAAACTTCCATGTTGACATCGTAGTATCTCAGGACCGGCACTTTGGCTAGAAACTTCTTGACAGTGTCATACGCTTGCTTGTGTTATTTGAGCCAACACCACTCTACATCCTTATCTTCGAGCCTTCTCAGCGGTTCGGTCATGTCCAACAATAAAGGTAAAAAATTTGCCAAATAGTTTACCATTCCGATAAATTTTTTGAGGCCTTTTGTGTCACTTGGATAGACATGTCTAAAATCGCTTCGACTTTTGCTGGATCAGCTTTGAGGCCATCAGTGGTAATTGCGGTGTCCCATGAAACGCACTTCTGTCTGTAATCGGCTCAACTTCGATTTATTTACCTTGAGATTCCACTCATGACATTTCTTGAAAAATACCCGTTGCTTCGTTTCCAAGCTTCGATCGATCTCCTCTCCTGTTTCTCCAAATCCCGCGATAAGGAAGTCATCAGGGGCGGCGGAACAGGGGGGGCTAGGGGGGCTAAAGTCCCCCAGAAGTAAAAGTGGGCGGGGGGGGCTTAGCCCCCCCAGAAAATTTGAATTTGATAATTAGGGAAAAATTGAGGTTATTTTTTGAAAATTTAGGTATAAGGGGACAAATTTGCAATATTTTGTTTAAAAAAAGTGTATTTCCGAAAAAATTTTTTGATATAAGTCCGAAAAAAATTTTTCGTCCCTTTTTTTGTATATTGTACCCCTAAAGTGGTACACACTGACCAAAATTTTTTTGGCGACGGGGGGGAGGGGAGTTCGCCGAAAAAATTTAGCCCCCCCAGAACGAAATCTGTTCCGCCGCCGCTGGAAGTCATCTGCTATGACTTCAACTCCATTGAGAACTGGAGCAAACTCATGCATTCGCCTTTGCCAAACGTCGAGTTCACTCGACATTCCGAACGGCATGCGAGTCCAGCGGTACTGTCTGAAGTTGAAGGTTGTCAAATAACTTTAACCGTGTCAAGTTTGATTTGGTAAAATCCGTCCTTAGCATCTCAGAGTGCGAATTTCTTCGCAGCCGTTAATCTTAATCTTTCAATGGGTAGTTGGTAATGTTCGCGTCGTATAACACGATTTAGGCATCGCGGGTCGATGATGCATATATGGATCTTGTTCGGCTTGACGACTGCCTGTTAACATGCTGGATACCGAATGGGTGGGTTCTGTGACAGGGACGATAACTTCCAGATCGACTATTTAAACTTATCTAGTTTCGCTTTGATTTGAGATCGTAATCGTAATGCGATTCAAAATGCGATTCAGAGTATGCCATCAAAAACGTCGGCATACTCTTCTGCAACATACGAATTGTATTCTGGAAGCTTTATTGTCAGTGCCAGAATGTCACAGTTGCTCAAATTGACAACGCCAAGAGCGATACTTGTATCTAATGATAACACTGGTTGATAAACTCCGTGATTAATGTTCTTTGCTGATCTCTGAACCACGCAGGGAATTTGGCTCTTCCGGTGATTTTACGGTGTTCTCCCGTGTTCGAAACGATCTCCTTTTCGCATGTCTTTAGGCCTTCCAGTTGTTTGTCATCAGTAACTTGTATGTATGAACTTGAAGGTCACATTGCGACCCACAATTGAACCGTGTTCTCCGCTCCTGGCTTCAACAGTTTCAAATTGATCACAAGTTTGCGTGCTTTGGGCTCGTCGACGTCAGAAATAGAGCTGATGCAGTAAAGATTTCTTCCAGTGTTATTCGACTTCCGTAGTTTGGTTGACTTGTGACGCTTTGCTATTTTCTTCGACATTTCCGCGCGAAATAATTAATCTTTTCACACTAATTAAAACACTATAGTCATACCACAATTTCCACACTCTGTAAACAATCCTTTCTGCTGGTGGTTTCGCATTAAATATCTAGGCGATTTTGTCTTTCGAGATTTTTACTTTCAATACCGACGTCTTCCTGTTGTGTTCTCCTTAGCGTGTTTACAAAATTTGTTGTGTTCTCCTTAGCGTGTTTGACTTGTTGTTGTGTTTGTTCCGCGCCTTTGATAGTGTCGACCACTTTCTGCAACGTGAGATCGTTTAGCGACAATAGCGAGGTTTAGCAAAGACGACGCGACGTCAACGAGGACGTGAAAATGGCGTAAAAATGGCGTGGGCACATCCATAGATGGGCATATCACGCCATTTTTACGCCATTTTCACGTCCTCGTTGACGTCGCGTCGTCTTTGCTAAACCTCGCTAATAAACGTTCTCGGACGTGGTAATCACGAATGCCTAAAATAAACCGATCCCGTAAAATTTCGTCTCACTGGTGTAATCGAGTCATGTGCACAATTTCCTGCAATACTTCAAAAATGTCATATGCCTTAACACCGTCCTTGCCGATTACGCTTAGAGGCGGACCATTTGACTTTTGGGGGAGGGGGTGGAAGTTTGGAAAAAAAATTTGGTAACCCAAGGAGAAAGAAAAACGTGCAGCATACAATCGAGAAAAAAATATCATGCAAAAGAGAACGCTTAAAGTTCCTATATGTAAATCTACTGATGCTCTTCAGTATTGTGTCCACAGGTTTTGCATTTTTGAGCAGGCACATTTGCTTAAAAGAACACATTGGGTGAACAGTGGACAACTTTGGAGCTTTTAACCTACCATTGCCAGTGGCGTTTCCTTGCAAAATTGCTGCCCCCCCCCGAGAGAATGTGGCTTTACGATATGTTAGTATTTATAAGTTATTTATACATATCTACAGTAATATGCATGGTAGAAAAAGTATTTTTGGATGGTTGAGTCTGAGTGTGTGCATTTTTTGATAACATAGCTCCAAACTATTAAAGTTCCAAGGGCCCATCTACAGGATACCAGTTGTACGTGCTGTATATACAATGATTTTAATGCGAACATGCCAGTTTACATTTTAAAACATTTCTGGAGAGGATGCAACCCGATCCCCAACAGACTACCTGTATGAACGATCGAAATGCTACAGATCTATCTTTGGGGGAACAGTGCTGTTTCAGAGGGCATTCAAAAATCGCATTATTGAAATCTTGCTTATTACGCATCAATCAAAGCTCATTTTGTGATTTTTCCTTGTTTAAAGTAGGGGACAGTAAGTGTTCTTTAGGCTTAGTACAGCAAAGTTGTCGCACAAATCCATGGCTAAAAACGCAGGAAATAGCATTTCCGAGGTTCAAAGCATGCCTCCAAACCCCCAAGGTTATGGCTGATTCATATACTGTACCCTCCCCCCCCTTTCCGAGTACTCTACTCTATCCCTGCACGTTTTAGGTCTTGGTGCAGTTATACATTTTTCGTGTCACTGAGTAAACTTGCATGCTTAAGTGTGGGAAAGATTAAGACATAACCATATAAAATAAAGCACAGTGAAAATTCCTTGGCCCCTCTTGAGATTTTCTCTGCCTCCTCTGACTGAAAAACCTGGCTACGTCTCTAACGAGAGCGGTATGAAAGCCTTAAGTTACTGTAAGCCGTTATTATGAGAGGCAAAAAAGTATGCTGCTGCAAAATATACTGGGAAAAAATCTTGTGCTGCACTTTTCGACTGAAAAGATATCTGTCCAATTCCCCTGGGCAGAAAAAAATTCTTGCACGGTCTGAATCTTCCAACCCCTCCCCCCACTCAAAAGTCAAATGTTCCACCCCTTAACAATTAAGGTTGATACTATGACAATGCCTTCATGTTTTTGTACACTGGTTGCAATCTCGTACCGTGTCCATGATTTCTTCCAGGACTCCCACATAGTTGCCAAGTTATCGTCAAATATAAGCGACTTTGGCGGTGGCAAATTCGATGGTGCTATAAATATTTGTGGTGTCTGGGCCATTTGTGGCGCTTGGGATCCTGCTTGAGGCTGAACCTCAGAACACTCTTGACACCAAGTAATGTCAGTGTTAATTTATTACGATATAGTTTCTGGTGAACAAGAAATCAAGAGAAGCAGTTATTTGTTTACAAATGAATATAAAAACGTCTGGCTTGTGTTATTTTTTCGTACGCCTCGCTCGCCATGCCTGTTAATCAAATTAATGTTTTCGTCATGTTGTTGCATGGGGATATGCAGCCAAAAAATATACGGACAAACTTCTCAAATTCCAGAAACGTGTGCTGAGACTTATCTACCTT